AGGCTTCCAGCCCTCCCACCGTGGGCAGGGGCAGCTCAGAGATCCTGCTGGGAGAGGCACGGTCCCTGTCTGCTGGGATGGCACAGGGACCCCTGAGCTGCTGTGGCTGCCAGGCAGGAATCTTCTGGGAGTGGACAGTGGCTTGCCACTGCCAGAGAGCAGTGCTAGATATTGGGGTGGGATGGGATTTTGGGAAGGAATTCCTCCCTGTGGGGGTGGTGTGGTGTTGCAGTGGAATTCCCAGAGAAGCTGTGGCTGCCCCTGGATCCCTGGAAGTGTCTGAGGCCACGTTGGAGGGTACTTGGAGCAATCTGGACTAGTGAAAGGTGTCCCTGCCATGGCAGGAGGTGAAATGAGGTGAGTTTGTGGTCCCTTCCCACCCACACCACCCCGGACTTTGACAATTCTGTGACAGGGAGAGTTCCTGGAAAAGAGCTGGATGCCATGGATGCCCGTCCTGGCCCGGATGGGGCAGCTCTGGCACTGCTGGGTTGTCCCTGACTCAGTTTCCCTGTCTGGTCTCTCAGACCCTGGGCACAGCCATGCACTGGGGTGCTTCTCCTGGGTGACTGGGCAGCCCTGCTGCTCCCTGCCCTGGCTCTGCTCCTTCCCCCATGCTCCAGGACGGAACTGGCCACCAGTTCCTGCGAGGGGCAGAGCCCACCCTGTGCCTCCCTGTCCTCGGCGGGGGTTCCTCAGCCAGGCAGGGCTGAGTCAGTGCTGAGCTCACGGTTTGTGACAGACAGGATCAAATGCTTCACTGGAACCAAAATATTTTCCATCCTGCGCGCTCCCCTCACCTGCTGGTTGTGTAACAGGATGGCGCGGACAGAACAGGTTTGTCTGGCACCGCGGATCCCTGGGCAGAGCCGTGGGGCCGGGACTGTCCCCAGGCCTGGGTGCTCCTGCCGGGCACAGCTACTGCCAGCTCAGGGACAGGGCACAGCTACTGCCAGCTCAGGGACAGCCTCTGGCCTGGCTTGGGGCGAGTGCAGATGACCCTTCTGCTGTTGGATGGGGCCCCTGGAGCAGGAGCTGGGAGCCGGGAGCGTGCTCCCAGCTCGGGACAGGGGGTGTGACAGTCCCTACCCGGGCACGGCAAGGCACAGGAGGTCGGTGACCCCTCACCTCCAGGGCCCCCGGGCTCTGCCCGTGCTGCCTCTCCTCGTCCCTGACCCTTGGGGACCTGCAGGACACAGCTCAGGTGTCCCTGACTGGGGCCTCAGCCCTCTCAGATCACTTTTTCCCTTTCTCCTGTTTTCTGAAGCGATTTCTGTGTTGCAAGAGCCGCCCCTTCCCTGCCTGGGGCCATAGCCGGGGACGCCGGGGCACAGCCTCGGTCAGGGCCAGGGGACACGGGGTTTGGGGGGCACAGCCTTGGTCAGGGCCAGGGGACATGGGGTTTGGGGGGCACGGGTGGCTCAGGGCCAGGACACAGGTTTGGGGGGCACAGCCTCACTCAGGGCCAGGACACACAGGGTTTGGGAGGGCACAGGTGGCTCAGGGCCAGGGGACACAGGGTTTGGGGGGCACGGGTGGCTCAGGGCCAGGACACAGGGTTTGGGGGGCACGGGTGGCTCAGGGCCAGGACACACAGGGTTTGGGGGGCACGGGTGGCTCACGGCCAGGGGACACGGGGTTTGGGGGGCACAGGTGGCTCAGGGCCAGGACACAGGGTTTGGGGGGCACGGGTGGCTCAGGGCCAGGGGACACGGGGTTTGGGGGCACGGATGGCTCAGGGCCAGGACACAGTGTTTGGGGGGCACGGGTGGCTCAGGGCCAGGGGACATGGGGTTTGGGGGGCACGGGTGGCTCAGGGCCAGCAGAACCCCATGCCTGCTGCCCGTGTGTGTCCCCATGTCCCACCAGGAGCCGGACACTGTCACCCCGCTCACAGGACAGTGGGGTGGACAGGCCGGGCTGGCATTTCCTCCACAGGGGTTTTTTGTTCACCGCTCAGCCCTCTGCTCCCCCAAATCTGCCCATGCCCAGCACCAAACGTGGTGGAGGCACAAAGGACTGGAATCAGCACTGCACACCGTGAGTGGAGAATCCTGGAATAGTTGGGGTGGGAAGGGACCTCACAGCCCCCCCGCCATGGGAGCAAAACCTCCTCTCCCCGTTATTCGCTGCCCCATCCCCCGGCTGCTCTCCCAGCCGCATCCCTGAGCCCGTTCCCGTGCCTGGCTCAGCCCTCGCTGACGAGAAAAGCTCAGAAGGGAGCGATTGCTTGGAAGCTGCAACCTGATCTTTGGTAAACCTGCCCTGCCCCGTCCCCAGCGGTCGCTCCGGGCGCCGGGAGAGCGCTCCCGGCAGCGGCGGCGCTCCCGGAACGGCGCCGGTGCGCACCGAGCAGCGCACGGAGCCGCATAACGGGAGCGGGATGAGCCCCGGGGGATGAGTCCCGGGGGATGAACCCCGGGGATGAGTCCCGGGGGATGAGTCCCGGGGATTAGTCCCGGGGGATGAACCCCGGAGGATGAGCCCCGGGGGATGAGTCCCGGGGGATGAACCCCGGAGGATGAACCCCGGGGGATGAGCCCCGGAGACCTGCGCCGCCGCGTTTTGTCCCAGCCGGGCTGTGCGGAATATGCCGCGTTTATTTATTGATGGAGGCCAGGCCGGAGCTCGGAGCAGGAGCAGCCGGTGGGGATCGGCTTCGTTCCCACTCGGCCAAGACGGAGCATGGCCGTGTCCGCACGGAGCGGGGATGGGTCCCGAGGTCACGTTCCGGAGCCTCCCGAATCCCGGCACTGCTCCCACTGCTGGGGCTGGGATCCTGGATCCTGGCTGATCCTGACAGATCCCAGCACTGCTCCCACTGCTGGGTCCATCCCACTGTCCTGATCCCGGCAGATCCTGGCACTGGTCCCACTGCTGGGGTTCATCCCACCGCTGGGATCCCGGCAGGTCTTGACACTGGTCCCACTGCTCGGTCCACCCCACTGCTGGGTTCATCATACTGATGGGGTTGAGATTCCAGATCCCAGCAGATCCCAGCACTGTCCCACTGCTGGCTTCATCCCACTGCTCAGATCCCAGCTCATCCCACTGCTGGCTTCATCCCACTGCTCGGGTTGAGATCCTGGCAGATCCACTGCCCGAGCCCTGGGTGCTGGGATGCCCCTCGGGCCCGGAAAGAGCTGGTTTGGAGCTGGGAGGAACCAGGACGAGATGGGCTTTAAGGTCCCTCCAGCCCAAAGCTGTGATTCAAAGATGACTGTGTGACTGGCACTCCGGCTGTGTGCACTGGGATCACTGGGATCACTGGGAAGGCTGTGGCCCATCCCTCACCGGCCATGCCAGGCTCTGTGCGGAGCCTGTGCCGGGCAGGAGGAGGAACAGAAGTGCTTTGTGTGCCCACAGCATGAACTGGGTGTGCCCTGCTGATGATCCGGGGGTGCTGAGCGCCCACGGCTGCCCCAAGCCCCGCAGGGACCAGCCCTCAACCAGCCAGTGGGGTGGACCCCAAAGATGGCCAGTGGGATGAACCCCGAGCCCAGAACACCAGCAGTGGGATCAGCTCTGGCATCAGGACAAGCCCCAGCAGCAGGATGAGCCCCAAGCCCCAGCAGCTGCACACCGTGTACCTGTTCCTGCCCCGGGAGCAGCAGAACCATCCCCTTTTCCTCTGCATTCTGTGCCTGTACCTGCCCCGGGAGCAGCAGAACCTCCCCTCTGGCTCTGAGCCAGGTGCCTTGGAGGTTTTACCTGGGCTGGAGGTGGGTCCTGGTTGTCGTGGCTGGTCTGGGGAGCAGGAGGGCCCGTGCAGGATGTCACCTGTGGAGGTGTCACCTGTGGAGGTGACACCTGCAGAGGTGATACCTGCAGAGGTGACTGCTGTGGAGGTGACAGCTGTGGAGGTGACACCTGTGGAGGTGATACCTATGGAGGTGACAGCTGCGGAGGTGACACCTGTGGAGGTGACAGCTGCGGAGGTGACAGCTGCGGAGGTGACAGCTGTGGAGGTGACAGCTGTGGAGGTGACACCTGCAGAGGTGACAGCTGCAGAGGTATCAGCTGTGGAGGTGACACCTGTGGAGGTGACAGCTGTGAAGGTGACACCTGCAGAGGTGACAGCTGTGGAGGTGATACCTGTGGAGGTGACAGCTGCAGAGGTGACACCTGCAGATCTGCCCTGCAGGGGTCCTGGGGTGGGGCTCTGTGGCCTTGGGGATGGGAAGTGCTCGGGCAGGTGCTGGGGCTGCACCCCGGCTCCTCGGGGCGTCCAGGGGAGATGTGGTGGCTTTGGCTTGTGCAGACCTTTCCCTGGACAGGGCAGTGCGGGTGGCTCCCCACTGGGACAGGGTGCAGGACACGGCCTCAGCTGGGTGCAGGAGCAGGGCCAGGGAAAGCCACAGCAGTGAGGAGCCACAGGGCCTGCTCAGGAGCTGCTCAGGACCTGCTCCCAGGAGCTTCTCCTGCTGCCTCCTGGCCCAGGGCTCCCCCAGCACAGGCACCAGCTGGAGATTCGCTCCACGCTCCATTTCCAGCCAGAGCCTCTCCCGCGGCCGCTCCAGGGACCTTCGTTCCAAAAGGATTTATTTCTAACACAGCGCCGTGTTTCTGTGGCAGGGAGTGTTGTGAGAGTGTTGTAAGAGCGTGGAGACTCCGCTGCTCCTGGGCAGGAATCGGGTTTCGGGCTGGTTCATTTATTATTTGTTATGGATTTATTTGTGCGTTTGCTCCGGGAAGCGCCGGTGTCAGTGACTCTGGAAGCACTCTCTGCTCTGCCAGGGGCTCAGAGGTGATTTTGCAATAAGCTGAGGTCACAGTGCACCTCCCAAAGCAGTGGGTCCCCGTGGTCAGGAACTCTCTGCATTCCCAGAAACGCTTGGAGGTGGGCCTGTGGATAAACCAGTCAGATCGACCAGCGAGGTCTGGCTGATCAGGCCAGGATGGGCCATTCCTGAGCCAAAGAGAAAAGAAAATGGGTTTTTTTGGGAGCTGCCCGTGCAGCAGGAGGTGCCAGCCTCCACTGAGGCCTCCCCTGTCCCCAGGTGAACCAGGGGAACATGCCCGGCATCCAGAGCACCTTCCTGGCCATGGACACGGAGGAGGGTGTGGAGGTGGTGTGGAACGAGCTGCTCTTCACCGACAAGAAGGCCTTCAAAGCACACGAGGTGAGACCCCGGGAGCCCCCACACCTTCCTGGGCGGGCACAGCCTGGCAGGACGGGCTCCTGCCCTCTGGCACTGCACCTTCCCTGGCTGCTCCCTCAAAGGGAGCTCCTCTGGACCTCACACCAGTGTCCCTGGGCACCCCCAGCTCTTGGGGGTGTCCTGCCCCATCCCAGGAGCTTCTGCATGCCAGAGCTTACCTCCTCACCTCTCCTACCCCACCCCAGCACCTTCTGCATGCCAGGGCCTTCCTCCTGACCTCTCCTGCCCCATCCCAGCACCTTCCTCCTCACCTGTCCTGCCCTGTGGCAAGCACATTTCTGTCCCTGTCAGGATTTTTCATAGAGGTGCACAGAGAGAAATGAAAGAGAAAACAATTTCTATTTCTGCTCCTTGATTTTCCCATGTGGAATGTGTTTGGAGAATTATTTACCTGGGGTGATTGCTTGGTTGGATTCTGGTGAGGATTGTCTGAGCCTGATGGCCAATCCAACCCACCTGGGGCTGGACTCAGCGAGAGGGTCACAAGTTGTGTTAGAGTTAGAGAAAGTAGTATGTAGTTTTAGTATCTTCCTTTTTAGATGGTATATTAATGTATTTTAGCATATTTATAATAAAGAAATCACTCAGCCTTCTGAATTGAGCCAGACATCAGCATTTCTTCCCATTGGGTTCTCCTGCATTTACGATACTGCCCCACCCCAGGAGCTCACCTGTGCTCTGTGTGCCCCCAGGAGAAGATCAAGACCATGTTTGAGCAGCTGGTGCTGGTGGATCACCCCAACATCGTGAAGCTCCACAAGTACTGGCTGGATGTGAAGGACTCCAAGGCACGGGTAGGGGTCTGGGGGGCCCTGGGGGGGCAGGAGGGGATCCCAGCTCTGCTCCTCGGCCTCCTTTCCCCTCTGGGGCCGGGCTGGGGGCAGCTGACCCCCTGTCCCCTGCCAGGTCATCTTCATCACGGAGTACGTGTCCTCGGGGAGCCTCAAGCAGTTCCTGAAGAAAACCAAGAAGAACCACAAGGCCATGAACGCCCGGGTGAGCTCCTGGAGCAGTGCAGCTCCCGCTGGAGCGGGTGCCTCTATGTCCCTGTCCCAGGGAGGGTCTCTGGGATCCGACAGGGCATGGCAGGGGGGAGCTGCTGTCACTTGGGGACCCTGCTGGAGCCCAGGAGAGCCCAGGCTGGATCCCACTGGCCCCAGGGCGGCGGTGGGTGGCACTGCCCTAGGTGCTCCCAGTGTCCTGCCCCTGCCCAGGCTGGCACCTGGGGACAAGGGACCAGCACCACCTGCACAGCCACTGCCCAGGGCTGGTGTGAGGGAGCTGGGGGATGATCCAGAGCCACCTCTGCCAGGGCAGGGACACCTTCCACTGTCCCAGGCTGCTCCAAGCCCTGTCCAGCCTGGCCTTGGGCACTGCCAGGTACCCAGGGGCAGCCAGAACTGCTCTGGGCACCCTGTGCCAGGGCCTGCTCACCCTCCCAGGGAAGGATTTCCTCCCAAAATCCCACCTGACTCTGCCCAGTGCCGGTGGGAGCCATTCCCCCCTGTCCCATCACTCCATCCTTGTCCAGTCCCTCCCCCTCCTGCAGCCTTGAGCCGTTTGCTGCAGTCACTGGAGCAGGGGACAGGGACACAGCTTCTGTGGGACAGTGTGGGACACACCCCTGAGCCGGGACAGGGCCAGGGGGATGTCCCTGTCCCTGGGAATGGGTGGGAAGGGCACAGGGAATGGGTTGGCAGGACTCTGAGCATGGCACAGGGGGATGCCCCTGTCCCTGGGAATGGGTGGGAAGTCCTGGCCTGGCCGGGGTGCCAGTGTGTCCTGGCTGATGGAGCTCTGTCCCCACTGTCCCTGCCCTGTCCCTGTCCCAGGCCTGGAAGCGCTGGTGCACCCAGATCCTCTCGGCTCTCAGGTGAGGCTCCCCCGGCTCCCTGCCCTGCCCCGTGGGGTGCCGGGGCTGCGGGCTGTGCTCGGGACACCCCTGTGCCCCCCTGTGCCCCCCCTGTGCCCCTCCAGCTTCCTGCACTCCTGCGAGCCCCCCATCATCCACGGCAACCTGACCAGCGACACCATCTTCATCCAGCACAACGGGCTCATCAAGATCGGCTCCGGTGGGCAGCGCCGGCCCCGGCGGGGTCACGGGGGGTCACAGGGGTCTGGGGGTCACGGGGGGTCATGGGGGTCACAGGGGTCTGGGGGTCACGGGGGGTCACAGGGGTCTGGGGGTCACGAGGTTCACAGGGGTCATAGGGGTCTGGGGGTCACGGGGGGTCACAGGGGTCATGGGGTCACAGGGGTCTGGGGGTCACAGGGGTCACAGGGGTCACGGGGGGTCACAGGGGTCTGGGGGTCACAGGGGTCTGGGGGTCACGAGGTTCACAGGGGTCTGGGGGTCACGGGGGGTCATGGGGTTCACAGGGGTCTGGGGGTCATGGGGGTCAGAGGGGTCTGGGGATCACGAGGTTCACAGGGGTCATGGGGGTCACAGGGGTCTGAGAGGCCCCAAGGGGGTTTGGGGGGTTCAAGATGGCCCCAAGGGGCTCGGAGGGGTCTAAGGAATCCAGAGGGGCCTGGGGGGTCCTAGGGGGTGTGAGGGGGTCAGAGGGGTCCCATGGGGTCAGAGGGGTCCGAGGGGGCTGGCAGGAAGGAGGAAGGGGGTGGGGGTCATGGCGGTGTGTGGGGGGTCCTGGCCAGGCAGGAGCCCTGCGAGTTGCGGGGTCCCTTTTTGGGGTGCCAACCTCAGTGTTCCCTTTTCTTCTCCTGCCCTCGCGATGCCCGGCCCCACCCGGCGCTGCCCGGCAGTTTGGCACCGCGTGTTTGCCAATGGTGAGTGACCCGTGGCCACCTGCCCGGGCTGGGGACACCCCCTGAGCCCCCCGGGGGCACCGGGGATGGCGCTGGGCTCCGTGGGGAGGGGGATGGCATCTTCATCCCTCTGGGAACTGCTGCTGCGGGGTGGGAGCAGGGGGGGCTCCTGGGGTGGGCAAGGGCACGGATCCCCTCAGACCCCATGGGTGGGCACTCCCTGACCCCACGGGTGGGCACACTGACCCCACGGGTGGGATCTCTCATGGGTGGGCACTCCCTGACCCCACGGGTGGGCACTCCCTGACCCCACGGGTGGGCTCTCTCATGGGTGGGCACACTCACGGGTGGGCTCTCAGCCCCCCCTGAGCGCCTGCCCCTCTCCCCCAGCGCTCCCGGACGATCTCCGCAGCCCCATCCGGATCGAGCGGGAGGAGCTGCGGAACCTGCACTTCTTCCCCCCGGAATACGGCCGTGAGTGGGGCTGGCAACGGGCACAGGGAGCGGGCAGGGGGCACAGGGAGCGGGGCTGGGAATGGGGAACAGGGAACAGGGCACAGGGCTGGCAACAGGCACAGGAACGGGCAGGGGGCATGGGCATGGGGCTGGGAACAGGGCACGGGACACTGGGCATGGGGCTGGGAATGGGGCACAGGGGGGCTGCACGACAGGGGAGGGCAGGTGAGAGCAGGTGGGTACAGGTGAGAGCAGGTGGGTACAGGTGGGTACAGGGGAGGGGAGATGAGAACAGGTGAGGGCAGGTGAGGGCAGTAGTGGCTGTCCATGGGGATGGCGTGGGCTGTCCAGGTGGGGCTGTCCAGGTGGGGCTGTCCAGGTGGGGTCCAGCCCCGAGGCTCTGCCCGGACGTGTCCCGCTCCCTCCGTGTTGCAGAGAAGGCAGACGGGACGGCCGTGGACATCTTCTCCTTCGGGATGTGCGCGCTGGAGGTGCGGAGCAGGACAGACCCTGGGCACGGTGGGACCCCAGCCCCTGTCCGGGGCTGTCCCCTGTCCCTGGGAAGCCCCCACGGACTGGCCGTGCCCCCTCCCCTCGCAGATGGCCGTGCTGGAGATCCAGACCAACGGGGACACGCGGGTCTCGGAGGAGGCGATCGCCCGGGCCCGGCACTCCCTGGATGATCCCAACATGAGGGTGAGAGCAGCTGGGGGAGCCTGCTGGGGGTGAATCCCTGTCCTGTGTCACTCCTGGGGGTGAATCCCTGTCCTGTGTCATTCCTGGGGGTGAATCCCTGTCCTATGTCATTCCTGGGTGTAAATCCCTGTCCTGTGTCATTCCTGGGTGTAAATCCCTGTCCTGTGTCACTCCTGGGTGTAAATCCCTGTCCTGTGTCACTCCGGGGTCTAAATCCCATCCTCATCTCTCACTCCTCTGTGAAAATCCCTGTCTTGCATCTCTCCTGGGTGCAAAACCTACCCTGCATCCTTTCTGGGATGTAAATCCCATCCTGTATCTCTCCCTCCTGGGATGTAAATCCCATCCTGTATCTCTCCCTCCTGGGTGTAGATCCCATCCTCGTCTCTCCCTCCTCAGGAGAGGAGCAGGGTTTGATAAGTGGGGCAGGGTTTGATTAGGGTGATTAGGGGACAGGACAGTTTGGGGGATAGCTGGGGTTTGGGCTCAGCCACAGGTAGGCATGGAACAGCCAGAACTTTAAACCCTCCACCCACCCTGACCCACCCACCCCCTTCCTCTTTCTGTGGCAGCCTCCAGAACATCCCATAAAGAGTCTGTGCATCCCTCAAATCTCCTGTTTGGTCACAGAGTTTCCCGAGGCATCCCACGGTAAATCCTGGGATCCCTGGGATCCCACATTCCCACGTCCCAGGAGAGCCCGGGAGCGGCTGGAGTCTCGCCGAGGGTCTCTGGGGCAGGCGGCTCTGAGGGGACCAGTCTGGGGGTGCCCCCCTGGCACCCTTGGGATCATGTTGGATCCATCCCAGACGTCCTGGCCCATCTCCTGGCAGCAGCAGGGCAGGAGCTGGAGGAGCAGTGGCAGGCTGGGCTCATCCTGCCCTGTCCCCACTCCCACCACCACATTCCTGCTCCCGGGGCTGATCCTGCTCCTGCCCCTTCTCCTGCAGCCTGTGCTGGGCTCACAGCTGGGATGGGGTCACTGGGGACCTCATCCCCATCTCTGCCCACCCGGATTCTGCTGCAGCTCCCTGTCCTGGGGCTCCTGCTGCAGGACGAGCCCTTTGCATCCATTTCCTGGGAAATGGGATCAAAACCAGGGTGACCCCAGGCCTAGGGCAGTGACCCCTGTGCTGGCACTGCTGGCACCTCCAGTCCTGGGGCAGGTTTGCAGTGCCCAGGTGAGGACATGGAGGGGCTGGAGCATGTTCAGGAGAGGAAATGCAGCTGGGAAAGGTCTGGAGCCCCAGGAGGGGCTGAAGGAGCTGGAAAGGGCCTCAGTCGGGAGAAAAGGAGGCTGGGGGACCTTGTGGCTCTGCACAGCTCCTGCCAGGAGGGGACAGCCGGGGGGGATTTGGGATCTAATCCCAGAGAACAGGGACAGGAGGACAGGGAATGGCCCCAGGCTGGGCCAGGGCAGGCTCAGGGTGGACATCAGCAGGAATTTCCTCATGGAAAGGGTGGTCAGGCATTGGAACTGCCCAGGGGGTTTGGAGTGCCCAGCCCTGGAGGTGTCCAAGGAATGATTTGGGTGCTCTGGGCTGGTGACAGGGTGGGGATGGGGCACGGGGTGCACTCCATGGGTTGGGAGCTCTGTTCCAGCCTCAGTGATGCCAGGACTCCGGGATGGTGTGAGAGGAGCAGGGCAGTGTCCTGCTCTGCTCCAGCTCTGGCCCTGCTCTGCCCTCAGGAGTTCATCCTGTCCTGCCTGACCCTGAACCCAGACAAGCGCCCGAGCGCCCACAACCTCCTCTTCCACCGTGTGCTCTTCGAGGTGCACTCCCTGAAGCTGCTGGCGGCCCACTGCTTCATCAACCACCAGTGTGAGTGCCCAGGCCACCCTGAGCCCGGCTCATCTGCCAGGGAGCCGGCTGGGAGAGCTGGGAATGCTCAGCCTGGAGCAGAGAGCCAGGCTGGGAGAGCTGGGAATGGTCAGCCTGGAGCAGAGAGCCAGGCTGGGAGAGCTGGGAATGCTCAGCCTGGAGAGAGGAGAGAGAGACAGGCTGGGAGAGCTGGGAATGCTCAGCCTGGAGCAGAGAACCAGGCTGGGAGAGCTGGGAATGCTCAGCCTGGAGCAGAGAACCAGGCTGGGAGAGCTGGGAATGCTCAGCCTGGAGCAGAGAGCCAGGCTGGGAGAGCTGGGAATGCTCAGCCTGGAGCAGAGAGCCAGGCTGGGAGAGCTGGGAATGCTCAGCCTGGAGCAGAGAACCAGGCTGGGAGAGCTGGGAATGCTCAGCCTGGAGAGAGGAGAGAAAGACAGGCTGGGAGAGCTGGGAATGCCCAGCCTGGAGGAGTGAAGGGTCCAAGGAAACCCCAGAGCCCCTTGCAGGGCCTGAGGGGGCTTCAGGAGAGCTGGCGAGGGACTTGGACAGGGATGGAGTGATGGGAAAGGGGGAATGGTTTCCCACTGCTGGAGTACAGGGTTAGATGGGATTTTGGGAAGGAATTCCTGGCTAGGAGGGGTTGAGGCCCTGGCACAGGGAAGCCAGAGAAGCTGTGGCTGTCCCTGGATCCCTGGCAGTGTTCCAGGTTGGACAGGGCTTGGATCACCCTGGGATAGGGGAAGGTGTCCCTGCCATGGCAGGGGGTGGGACTGGATGGGATTTTGGGTCCCTCCCACACAAAACACGCCGTGATGCCATGTGCAGAGCCTGGGGAGGGGGCAGTGACCCCCAGCCCCTCCCTGGGGTAGGGGCTGCGGGACCCTCACCCCCCTGTCCCTCTGCCCCAGATCTGATGCCAGAGAACGTGGTGGAGGAGAAGATCAAAGAGCTGGACCTGAACATGGTGATGGCCGAGATCCGCAGGGAGGGTCGGCCCGGGGCGCAGTGGAGGTGAGGATGAGGATGGAGGATGGGGGAGACCCCACAGCATCCAGCCTGGAGACCCCCCTGCACCCTCCTGTCCTGTTCCCTGCCCAGGTACTCCGAGGTTTCCTTCCTGGAGCTCGACAAGTTCCTGGAGGACGTCAGGTGGGTTGGAGCTCCCAGGGAATGTGGGGCTGGGATGGGCACACGGGAGTGTCCCTGCTGTCCCCAGCAGTGCACACAGCAGTGTCCCTGCTGTCCCCATGGAATGTGGGGTCAGGATGGGCACATGGGAGTGTCCCTGCTGTCCCCAGCTGTGCACACAGCAGTGTCCCTGCTGTCCCCAGGGGAATGTGGGGTCAGGATGGGCACATGGGAGTGTCCCTGCTGTCCCCAGCAGTGCACAGAGCAGTGTCCCTGGTATCCCCATGGAATGTGGGGCTGGGATGGGCACACAGCAGTGTCCCTGCTGTCCCCATGGAATGTGGGGTCAGGATGGACACATGGGAGTGTCCCCAGCTGTGCCCACGGGAGTGTCCCTGCTGTCCCCATGGAATGTGGGGTCAGGATGGGCACACGGGAGTGTCCCTGCTGTCCCTGCTGTCCCCAGCTGTGCTCGGTGCCCTGTCCCCACTCCTTCCATCCCTGCCTGTCCCTGCTCCTTCCAGAGCTGGCTCTGCCAGGGCCGCAGGGGATGGGATCAGCCCTGTCTTCCCTCTGTATCCCACAGGAACGGGATTTACCCCCTGATGAACTTCGCTGTCTCCAGACCCCACGCGCTGCCCCGCGCCCTGTCCCAGCCCCAGGAGGACCCTCAGAAAGCCAAGACCCCCACACCAGAGCCCTTCGATGTGGAGACCAGGAAGGTGAGGGCAGATCCTGGGCTGCTCCAGGTGGGGACAGCTCCTGCGCTGCTCCCATCCCTGCTGCAGGGACACCTCTCCTCTTAGCCGTGTCCAGGAGAGAGCCGGGAGAGGAGTTCTGGGGTTCCCGTAGGAATTCCAAAGTGCCCCAGAGCCAGAGGGGCTGATCCCGAGCTGGGCTTTTCCAGGTGGTGCAGATGCAGTGCAACATGGAGCTGAACGAGGACAAGAGCCAGTGGCACGTGAGTACTGGATCCTGCACTGGTCCCTGCACGTCCTGCTGGGAACAGGACTGGGAATGGAAATGGGACTGGGAAATGGGACTGGGATTGGGAAATGGGATTGGGAAATGGGACTGGGAATGGGAAATGGGACTGGGACTGAGAAATCAGACCAGGAAATCTGACAGGAAGATGGGAAAGGGAAATCTGCCTGGGATACTGGACTGGGAAATGGTACTGGGAAGTCTGGAGCTCCCAGTTCCCCAGAGCTCCCAGCAGTGCCCAGAGCTCCCAGTTCCCCCCATCCTGCCCTCCAGGGGCTGGAATGAGTGGGCTCTCTCCTGTCTCCACAGCTCACACTCCTGCTCATCCTGGAGGACAAGCTGCACCGCCAGCTCAGTTACGACCTGCTGCCCAGTACGTTCCTGCAGGGAGTGGCTGCTGGGGCAGCCCGGGGCCCTGCTGGGGTTAGGAATGTGCCAGCTCCCCAGCCAGCTTCCCTACCTTTCCCTTTCCTTGCTTTCCTCTCATGCTCCCCTTCCTTTTCCCATTCCTCTCCTTTCCTTTCCCTTTCCCCTTTCTCCTTTTCCTCTTCCTTTCTTTTTTTCCTGTGTGGTCCCAGCCCTTGCCCACCTGGACCCTGTGCACATGGAGGGCAGAGCCCAGTGGTCACTGCAGGGCAGAGCCCCCGTGGTCACTGCAGGGCAGAGCCCCAGTGGTCACTGCAGGGCTGCATTCCCACCAGGACCCCCCGTGGGCAGTTCCTGGGGTCCACTCTCATTCCCAGCACGGGCACAGCGTCCCCAGCACTTTCCCAAGGGATAGGGGACCTCCTCTGAGGGGCCTGGGAAAGGGGCAGGTCCAGCTCCTTCCAGAACATCAGGAGCCTCTGGAGCCCCGGGGCTGTCCCACAGCCACAATTCCCTCAGAACGCTGGGGAATGGTGCCTGGGAGCTGCTCCTGCCCCAGGCTTTCCCTGGGGGGCCACACAAAGCCTTTCCAAGTGCCACATTGTCCAGAGCCATGTTTTGGGAGCTCAGGAACCTTACTCCCCTTCCCTGCCCCATTTTCCCAGCTCTCCCAGGTGCAGGAGCTCCACGAGCTGTATCCATGCTCGTGTTCTCCTGCTCCTTGTCTCTGCAGCTGACAACTCCAAGGATCTGGCCACAGAGCTGGTGCATTATGGATTCATCCACGAGGTGAGTCCCTGCTGTCCCCGAATCTGGAGCCCCCAGAGCTCCTCCAGCCCCTCCCAGGCAGGGCTGGGATTTCTGTTCCCTCCAGATGCTGCTCCAGGAGCTGTTCCAAGGGGAACTGCCCATTGTGGCATGTGTTAATTAGCTGGATCTTAAATAATTCTGAGTGTGAGAACCAGGGGAGCACCCGGGGGGCACACAGGGAAGGAGGCTGATTCCTTACTTAAGGAATCACAGAACCATTATTTCTGGAGAAGATCTCCAAGATTATTGAGTCCAGCCTGTGACCAAACCGGGGAGGTCACCCTGATGGCATCCCCAAGTGCTACACCCACACATGTCAATGGAACACTTCCAGGCATGGGGACTCCAGCCCTGCCCTGGGCAGCTGTGCCAGGGCTGGACAGCACTTTCCAGGAGGAATTTTCACAATATCCCACCCAAACCTCCCCAGCCTGGGGTCGTTCCCTCTCCTCCTGTGTCTGTTCCCTGGGAGCAGAACCTAACCTCCCTGGCTGTCCCCTAAAGCCAGGGAATCTCAGAAAAACGGAAAGCTGGACAAGACAAACGAAGGTTCGAACCAATGTGGTTAATCAAGCGTTCTCCCTTTATTCAAGATAAGGTGGTAGTTTATATAAGCTTCCACATAGTTTACAAAAACAAAGACACTCTGATTGGTAGGCTAACATTGTTTACCTTTTCCTTAAAACGGCCTACACCTTACACTATAAAACCTGTACTAATTCACACCCAGACAGCCCAGTGGTCCCCATCACACCTTAAGACTATTTCTATCTGTGCCACAAGCTCTGAATTTCTAACTGCGTCAGAGGCTTGAAGGCCTCACAAGGCCCAAATCTGAGGCCTAGACTGGAGTAGCTCAAATCTCATAACTCATGTCCTCTTTCTCTCAAAAATGCTGCAACAGTCCCCTCCTGTCAGGAACTGTGCAGAGCCACAAGGTCCCCCCTGATCCTCCTTTTCTCCAGGCTGAGCCCCTTTTCCAGCTCCCCCAGCCTCTCCTGGGGCTCTCTTCCCTCCCCTGGACATGCTCCAGCCTGTCCATGTCCTCACCTGGGCACCCCAAACGTGCTCCAGGACTGGAGCCAGCACAGGAAGGGCTCGGGATGGGGACTGTGGGGGTTGGAGGTGGCTGGGAGAGCCCAGCAAAGGGACCTGTGAGGGTTTCTGGTTCCAGGACGACTGTGAAAAGCTGGCCACGTTCCTGGAGAGCGCCTTCCACAAGCACCGCTCCCAAGCCCTGTGAGCCCGCGTTCCCAGGGGATCGAGGCGCCGGATGGAGGATCCCAAAGGGCTCCCGACCCACCCAGCTGCAGCAGGACTCACCTGGCCGGGCCTTGGGCCCACGGGGATTTGCCCAATCCGTGCTCCGGGAAGGCAGCAGCTGACAGGGGACTCGGCAAACACCGGGAATTAATCCTGGGATGCTGGGACATGTTCTGGTCTCTGCTCCCGAGGGGAGGTGTGGGGGAGTGGGCAGCACCCCCGGCAGCCCTTTCCCAGTGGGGCTTGTGGAGCTGCTGCAGAAGCCCCAGCCGGATCCATTCCCTCTGGGAATGATCAGCCGCCTCGCTGCAGGTCCCACAGCTGTTTTCTCCCTCTTTGCCATCTGGAATGGTCCTTGCTGGGGGGAGGGAGGGGAGGAGCAGGTTTGGAAAGCCCTTGTGGCACTTCCCATCTGCCACATTCCACTCTCCATCCCAAACTTCCCCAGGTTTAAGGTCTCCACTGTGCTGCCTGTGCTCAGAACCCTCTCCATGAGCTGGGACTGTGTGAGCTGGACATGACATGGCTTGAGGAGAAATTCCTGACCTACCACCTGGATCCACACATGTGGATCAGCAGGAATCTCATTGATGCTCCACAGAATCCTTGTCATTCCCCAGTTTCTCCTACAGCCTTCCAAAATCGCATCTTCAGGAGAGAGCCCTGCTGCCTGTTCCTCCCATTCCTGCCAGGGTGACTGGAATGTCAGTCCCTGGCCTGGAGCTGGGGAATTGCCACCATCACCACCCCAGTGCTGCCCTTTGCCGGGGACACGTTGATGTGGAGAAAAGTGCAAACAGGAGTTGTCTCTGTCCAGGAGCCGTGTGGGGCTGCTCCTGCTCTGCCAGGGAAAACTGGCTCTGAAATCCTGCTCTGTGCTGCTCCTGGGAAAGCTGGCTCTGAAATCCTGCTCTGTGCTGCTCCTGCTGCTCCAGGGAAAACTGCCTTTGGCATCCTGCTCTGTGCTGTGCCACTGCTGCTCCTGCTGTGCCAGGGAAAACTGGCTCTGAAATCCTGCTCTGTGGTGCTCCTGCTGTGCCAGGGAAAACTGGCTCTGAATTCCTGCTCTGTGCTGCTCCTGCTGCTCCAGGAAAAGCTGGCTCTGAAATCCTGCTCTGTGCTGCTCCTGGGAAAGCTGGCTCTGAAATCCTGCTCTGTGCTGCTCCTGCTGCTCCAGGGAAAACTGCCTTTGGCATCCTGCTCTGTGCTGTGCCACTGCTGCTCCTGCTGTGCCATAGGAAATTGGCTCTGGCACCCTGCTCTGGGCTGGTGTTCTGTGCCAGTGCTGCTCCTGCTGTGCCAGGGAAAACTGCCCCTGGCATCCTGCTCTGTGCTGGTGCTGCTCCTGCTGTACTGGATTATCCTGGCACTGTCCTGGTGATCTGCACCATGCCAGTGTTCCATGCCAGCATTCTGTGCTGCTGCTGCTGCTGCTCTGCCAGAGGAATCCAGCTCTGGCATCCTGTGCTGGTGCTGCTGTGCCAGTGAAAAACACCTCTGGCATCCTGCTCTGTGCTCCTGCTGCTGCTGCTGTGCTGTGGAAATGCAGCTCTGGCATCCTGCTCTGTGCTGTGCCAGTGCTGCTCCCGCTGTGCCAGGGAAATCTGCCCCTGGCTCCCTGCTCTGTGCTGGTGCTGCTCCTCCTGCTCAGACTCTGATCCAGCTCTGGTGCTGTCCTGGTGATCTGCACCACGCTGGTGTTCTGTGCCACTGCTCTGTGCCAGTGCTGCTCCTGCTGTGCAGGGGAAGCTGGCTCTGGCATCCTGCTGGTGTTCTGTGCTGCTGCTGCTCCTGCCACTCACTCTGTGCCAGGGAAAACTGCCTTTGGCATCCTGCTCCGTGCTGATGCTGCTCCTGCTGTGCCAGGGAAAACTGGCTCTGGCAGTGTTCCTGCTGTGCTGTGGGAATGCAGCTCTGGCACCTTGCTCTGTATTGTGCTGGTGCTGCTCCTGCTGCTCCCTCTGTGCTGGGGAAATCAGCTCTGGTGCTGTCCTGGTGGTCTGCACCACGCTGGTGTTCTGTGCCAGTGCCCTGTGCTGGTGCTGCTCCTGCTGCTCCAGGGAAAGCTGGCTCTGAAATCCTGCTCTGTGCTGTCCTGGTGCTCCAGGGAAAGCTGGCTCTGAAATCCTGCTCTGTGCTGTCCTGCTGCTCCAGGGAAAGCTGGCTCTGAAATCCTGCTCTGTGCTGCTCCTGCTGTGCCAGGGAAAGCTGGCTCTGAAATCCTGCTCTGTGCTGTCCTGCTGCTCCAGGGAAAGCTGGCTCTGAAATCCTGCTCTGTGCTGGTTCCAGTCCCTGCTGGAGCTCCGTGTGCCCCCGCTGCTCGTGCTCTGTGGCGTCACTCCAGCTGCATCCCAGCGGGATTTAATCCATGCTCAGCCAACCTGGGCTCCATCCCCAGCCTGGGCTGCATCCCCAGCAGTGCTGCATTCCCAGCAATGTTGCATTCCTAGCCCTGCTCCATCCCCAGCCCTGCTCCATCCCCAGCCCTGCTCCATCCCCAGCCCTGCTCCATCCCCAGCCCTGCTCCGTCCCCAGCAGTGCTGCATTCCCAGCAATGCTGCATTCCCAGCAGTGTTCCATTCCTTGCCCTGCTCCATCCCCAGCCTGGGCTGCATCCCCAGCAGTGCTGCATCCCCAGCCCTGCTCCATCCCCAGCCCTGCTCCATCCCCAGCAGTGCTGCATCCCCAGCAGTGCTCCATTCCCAGCCCTGCTTCATCCCCAGCCCTGCTCCATTCCCAGCCCTGTTCCATTCCCGGCCCTGTTCCATCCCCAGCCCTGCTCCATCCCCAGCAATTGCTCCATCCCCAGCAGTGCTCCATCCCCAGCAATGCTGCATTCCCAGCCCTGCTCCATCCCCAGCAGTGCTGCATCCCCAGCAATGCTGCATTCCCAGCCCTGCTCCATCCCCAGCAGTGCTGCATCCCCAGCAATGCTGCATCCCCAGCCCTGCTCCATCCCCAGCCCTGCTCCATCCTCAGCCCTGCCAATATTCCCACCTGGAATCAGTCTTACCCTACTTGACAAATCAATAAAGCCCAGTCCCACTGGAGGGCTCTGCACCAGTCTGCTCGTGACTCCTGACTCCGGGGAAGCAGAGGGGGAGGGATCCAGGGCCTCCTCACAGCTGCCCATTCCCAGTCCCTCCAGGGCAGCCCCAGCCCAGCCCCAGACATTCCAGCACATCCCAGCCCCTCCCTGGCACTGCCTCACACAGCCCTGCCCTAAATCCATGGATTTAACAGGGTCTGACACGGCTGCTCCGAGCCTGGAATTCCCTGCCCTTGGTGAATTCAGTGGCCCAAACTCCTTTAAAAAACCCGGGGGCTCTGGGCCCTCCCTGGGTGCTTTCCTCAGGGGATATTCCAGAGTGGGAATACAAGATTCCGGTGCCAGTTCTGCCAGGTGTGCTGTCCTGCTGAGGCTGCCTGTGCTTGGGACGGGGCCCACACCTGGGGGGCCATTCCAGAGCTGCACTTCCACCCCCTGGCACAGACAGGGAACCCCGGCAGGGCTGGGTGGGAAGGACCCTCCAGACCCACCAGGGACACCTCCCACTGTCCCAGGCTGCTCCAAGCCCCATCCAGCTTGGCCTTGGGTACTGCCAGGGATCCAGGGGCAGCCACAACTGCTCTGGGCACCCTGTGCCAGGGCCTCACCTCCCTCCCAGGGAAGGATTCCTTCCCAATATCCCATTCATCCCTGCCCGCTGGCAGTGAGCAGCTATTCCCTGTGTCCTGCCCCTCCAAGGTGTGTCTGGAGTCCCTCTCCAGCTCTCCCGGAGCCCGTTTAGGCCCTGGAAGGGGATCTGAGGTGTCCCTGGAATGTTCTCCGTCCCAGATGAACATTCCCAGCTCTCCCAGTCCGGCTCCATTCCCTGTGCTGGGGTGTGCCCTTGGCTCTGCACTGAAATTCGGACACCAGGGACTAAGGCCCCTCGAACGGGGCCAAGAGAAGGGACAGAGATGCCGGACTGGGAACAGGGACGTTTCCCTGCACTTCCCAGAGTAGGTCCCGGTCCGCACCCCGTGACACATTCAGCACCACGGCCGGTACCGGGGGTGCGGGGGAGGTCCGCAGCTCTTCCCCCCAGCTGCGACCAAGGGTCATGGGGTACCAATCGGATTTATCCCGTTTTAGCTGGGTTTACGCGGCTTTAATGCATTTTAACTGGTTTGAACCCGTTCTGTTCGGGGCTCGGATTGTCACAGCCCTGCCCGAGGCACCGGGTCCTGCCAGTGCAGCGGCGCTGAGGGCCGCAGCAGCCGAGCTGAAGCCCCGCTCCCCCGGGATCACGCCACGCCACGCTTCACCCCTCCGGCGGCGACGGCGCCTGGGCGCCGCCATCTTGCCAGCCGCCGGGGTCACGTGACGTCCTCCCGCGCTCTCGCGATACTTCTCGCGAGAGCCGCCCGGCCCCCGTTTCCCGCGCGCGCGCCGCGGAGCTCTCGCGAGAGGCGCGTGCGGCAGACGGGGAGGACAAGATGGCGGCGACAACGGCGATGGCGCTGGTGAGGGGCGGCGGGGCCGGGCCGGGCCGGCGCCTCGGGGCGGGACACAGGGCGGCCGCCAAGGGGGTCCGCCCGGGCCGGGCTGTCTCCGGGTGGCGTGGCGGCTCTGAGGGGACGGCGCCGCTTCCCGCCGGTTCTCTTCCGCTTCTGGGCTCCCGTCGCGGCCTCGTCCCTGAGGGGAAGGTGTCGGTGTTCCCCCGCGCGGTGCTGAGCTCCGTCCCCCCCACCTCCGCGGCCGTGCCGCTGCAGGCCGCTGTGCCGGGCCTGTTGTTCCCCAATCCGTGGCTTTAAACGCTTCTCTTTGGGCTCCCGTTCCCAAATTCGCCTGTCTCAGTGCTCGCTGTTGGGCCCGGTTTCCTAAATCCGCTTGTTTAAGTGCTGCTCTGGGGCTCCCGTTCCCGAGTCCGCCTGGATTGCGTTTTGCGGAGCTCTGGGAGGTTTCAGCCCCCGGCCGGGTGCGGTGTGGGAGCGCAGCGGTGTCGGGTGTTCCTTTTCCTGGGATGAGCCTTGACAGCCGTGGAATGCTGCCGGGGTGCTGGGCCGGCTCCGGGCTCGCTGGGATTGCTGTGAAACGGGAATCGGGCTCCTGCAGGAGCTCCCTCCGACCCCCAGAGCTCCTGGAGTGCCGGGCTGGATCTGCCGGCCGTGTGGCGCGGCAGGAGTTCATTGTGGGGTTTGTCTCCTGTTCCCCATCTCTGTTTTCAGGGAAATACGGGATTTCTCTGAGGTGCAGGTCTGGTTCCAGGGCAGCTCAGCCTTCCCCTAAGGGGCCGCTGCTGCTCCCGGAAGGAATTGTGTGTCCTGGAGTTCCTTTTGTGAATTCACTGGGGTTGGTGCTCCCGTTTGGGAGGAGATCTAAACAACTCTCGCTTTGTTTCCTGCCTCATTTTTTCCTTAATCCCAGGTCGGTGCTGGGAAGGAGGGGGCAGGTCTTGCTTTGTGAGGTTACCTGTGATTCCGTGGGGGATGGGAAGGAAACACCTGGCCTCAGAATTCCCATTTATCCAATGGGCATGCCTGCACAGGGCTCTCCAGGTGTGGGGAGTCCCTGTGGACACACCTGCACAGGGCTCTCCAGGTGTGGGGAGTCCCTGTGCACACACCTGCACAGGGCTCTCCAGGTGTGGGGAGTCCCTGTGGACACCCTCCCAGGTGAGAGGACAGGAGGAAATGGCCTCAGGCTGTGCCAGGGGAGGCTCAGGCTGGACACCAGGAGGAATTCCTTTGAGGAAAGGGTGCCCAGGGGGGTTTGGAGTGCCCGTCCCTGGAGGTGGCACTCTGGGGACAGGTTGGGGACAGGTCACAGGTTGGGCTTAATGGTCTGGAGGGGTTTTCCAGCCCCTGTGATTCCATGGTGGCAGGAGCAGTGGGAGTCACACAAAGGCAGCTGTGTGGCTGCCCACAGATGCAGGAATCAGCTCTGCTGCTCCTGGGGAAGGAGCCCGGGAGGCTGGGTGGGACCTGTGAATGTTCATTCCATGTTTTCAGGGAATCCTGGATCCTGGATGGCTCTGTGGGACAGAGCAGGGCCAGGGGGTGTGTGTGAGATTCCCAGGGAATGCAGAATGGCTCCATGGTGTGCTGTGCGACAGACAGAGCCTAGGGGGATGTATGTGGGATTCCCAGGGAATCCAGGATCCTGGATAGCACCTTGGTGTGCTGTGGGACAGACAGAGCCCAGGGGATGTGTGTGGGATTCCCAGGGAATCCTGGATAGCACCTTGGTGTGCTGTGGGACAGACAGAGCCCAGGGGATGTGTGTGGGATTCCCAGGGAATGCAGCTGTGGGAGCCGTTTGCTCACCAAGTGCTGCAGAAAGGGCCCATTTGGGGAGGTTTGGGTTCCTGCCAGTCTCTAGGAACACGTCTGGGGAGTAGTGGAGAAGCTTTGGATGTGCCCCATGCTCTGGATTCTGCACGTGCCAGCAGTGACTGCCAGCACTGCTGTTCCCAGTTGGGAAGGAGCGTTCCACGGGGTGTGGGAAAGGAGTTGCTAAAGCCACTGAGGAGTACTAAAGGTTACCGTGCCCACAAGGGCTTCCAGGCTGCCAGTGGAATCCCCAAGGGCTTAGATGGAAAATAGGGACTGAACTGGAGTGTGGTTGTACCCACCAGGAAGGGCCTTCCCTGGACACTCAGCTGTAGTTGAGGAATTCCTTTCTGGAAGAGGTGGGGCCATTGGAAGGGGCTGCTGCTGGAGGTTTGAAGTATCCAAGGAGCAGCTGGACTCAGAGCTCTGAGGTGCTGAGAGGTGGGGAGCAGTCCCAGGCTGGACGCTGTGCTCTCAGAATCTTTTCCAATCTGATCCTGACATTCTGTGCTGCTCGGGCTGCGTTCCAGCCTCTGCTGGGGCGAGTGTGAAAGGATCTGCTGAATTCCTGCTCACCCTGTCAGGGAGCAGGGGTGGGGCCAATGCCCTGGCCATGTGCTTCATTCTTCCTTTTTGCACTTCTGTCTCCTTGAATCTCCATGTGATCTGCTGTTTGTGGTCCCCAAATAAACGGGATTCTGTCCTTTCTGTGTGTTTATACTTCATGGGAGTTCTCAGCCCTGTAACAGATTTCCAGAAATGTTTCTGCGCTCTTGGCGTTCAAACTCCCTAGAAGGGCCCAGCCACGCTCAGATGCTGGAATAGCAGCAGGAATCCAGTTCCCATTTATTTTTTTTCCAAAGAAGCTCCTGTTCTCCTGCTTCCTCAACTAGCTTTGCTCGAGTTTTTCTCCCACTTTCCTCCTTCCTCTGGCTGTTATGGGATGTGGTAATAAGGTTTCAGGGGAGGAGCCTGAGCACAAAGCCCCGGGTGCTATTGTCTGGCCCCAGGGAGCCGGGCTCGTTCCTAGTTCCTGGGAGCAGGGTTATCCCGAGGAGCCCGGAAAGAGGAAGTCAGCACTCCGGGCTCTCTGAGTGTCAGGGTGGAGGCTGGGGTGGGTTTGCACAATGTGCTGCTTTCCAGGGAGCCCAGAGTGACAGGGTGATGATGTTCCTTGGGGAATGCTCCCTGGCAGGGGATGTATGGTCAGGAATTCCTCTTGGAGCCATTCCCGTGGTCAGCAGGGATCACCCTGGATCTATGGGCTCTTCCCAGAGGGATTTGTGGGGGCAGAGAGCTTGGAGCCAGCAGTGCCTGGGTACCTCTGGGTCCTTCCAGTCTCAGCTTTGCTCTCTCTGCTGGAGCTGCAATGTTCCAGAGCACTTTTTGGAAGCTGTGCCTGTTAATGAGCCCAGATATGTAAATTATATTAAAGTCAGCTGTGCAATGGGCTGGGTTTGGAACAATCACAACAGACCAGGCTCCTGACTTTTTTATTTTGAATGGTTACACTTGGCAGCCCTTCACTCTTTTCTTCTCCTTCCACATCTCAGAGCTCCTAAATTGGAATAATTGAGTTTTTAAAACTGAAGGAATGGGAGCAGCAGTGGGAGAAGGGTTTGTGGATTTTGAAATTGGCTGGGGAGAGTTCTGGGTGTCCAATGGCAGAGACATGGGAGGGGACAGGGACAGCTGGTGACAAACAGGCTTCAGCCAGGTGGGAAAGGACAAGAAGGATTTTTAAAATTAATTTATTGGATGTTCCACAATCAAAATGAATCTTGGAGATGAGGGAGCCTTCTTTTCTAAACAGATGAGCGTTTCTGGATTGTGCTTGTGGCCGGGTGGAGATGGCATTTCATTAGGGGACATGGTTGCTGGCCTTGGCAGTGCTGGGGACAGTTTGACTCGGTGGGCTGTGAAGGCTTTTCCAATATCAGCAATTCCATGATTCCATATCGCTTGCTGCTCTTGTTTTCAGTTTGACTGTGGCTTTGTGCACTGGAGTTTGTCAGTGTGCAGCTCCAGCCACCTCTGTTCCCGTCATCCTTGTGTTCCTTGTGTCCCAGTCCAGCTATGGACTTCTGAAGGGACACAGGGAACAGCTGCAGCTCTGGGTACTGTCTGGACACCTGCAGAGCAGGATTTTGTGTTGGGAGGGTTTGTTTTCTGTCTGCTCCATGTGCACTGATCCTGGAAAATGCTCACACCACCCACAGGGGACTGGAGGCTGCACAGAACCAGGAGTCTCATTCTTGCTGTAAAATGAGAGTCAGATGATTGAGGATATATCCTAGAATCCTGGAATGGCTGGGCTGGGAAGGGAAGCTGTGGCTGCCCCATCCCTGCAAGTGTCCAAGGCCAGGTTGGAGGAACTGGGCTAGTGGGGGGTATCCCTGCCCGTGGCAGGGAGTGGAATGGGATGAGCTTTGAAGTCCCTCCAACCCAAACCATTCCATGATTCTGTGACAGTCCAGGAAAAGCTTTGCTTTTGGTAAAGGAAAAGCTTCAGGTCTTGGCTCCTGCTCTGAATGGAGGTTTTTCCATGGATCCTTTTACTTGAAGCGAAGACTTCCCACAGGAGCACATCCAGGACCACAGGCTGGGGTTTGTCCCCGCTGGTTTTTGGGTGGTTGATGGGAAATGTGGAGTTGAGAGAAGGAACCAACTCTGTTTTGATGGATGGTGCTGCCAGAACCCCCATTCTGATTCCAGCAGTGGGATCCATGGTCCCAGCAATGGGATCACCATGCTGCAGTCCCAGTCCCAGCAGTGGGATCACTGTGCTGTGCTGGAATCACAGTTCAGAGGGCTGGAGTGGGACTTCAGACAAGGGCTTGGAGTGGCAGGACACAGGGAATGGCTTCCCACTGCCAGAGGGCAGGGCCAGATGGGATATTGGGGAGAAATCCTTCCCTGTGAGGGTGGTGAAGCCCAGCCAGTGGTTGCCCAGAGCAGCTCTGGCTGCCCTGTCCCTGGAAGTGTTCCAGGCCAGGCTGGACAGGGCTTGGAGCAACCTGGGACAGTGGAAGGTGTTCCTGCCCATGGCAGAGGTTGGGACTGCCTGAGCTTTAAGGTCCCTCCAAAGCATTCCATGATTCTGTGATTCTGTGATTTGGAAAAGTTTCAGAGAAGTTTTTAAAATAAGAACTTGAGAGAGCTGGGTGAACAGAGCTGGGAGGGAGAAGCAGGAGGAGAACGTTGATGGGGACATTAGACAGTGGATCTTGTTGCGGGGATGGAGATGACATGAGCGAGGATTGGGATTATCTGATTGTCTGTTCACAGAAAATGTGGCTGGAGAACTCTCTAAGTGTACAATTGCTGGGTTGGCTCTTCCTGCAGAGAATAGTGGGGAATATGAACTGGTTTTCCTGACATACAGCTGGGTTTGGGAAGGGTTTTTAGCCAACTGTCATGTTCTGACATGAAGTGCGTTGATTTTCTGGCAAGGAAGACAGGTCAGTCCTGTGAGAACAGTTTTTCTGAGCATCTTCTGTCTCCTTAGGGTACGGAGTCCATTAAGATGGAAAACGGGCAAAGCACAGCAGCAAAGCTGGGGCTGCCCCCTCTCACCCCGGAGCAGCAGGAAGCTCTCCAGAAAGTGAGTAAAACTGGTGGCAATTTGCTGTTTGGGGAGTGGTGGTGTGTTTTAATGAGACTCTGCCACTGGTGGAGCCAAAGGGAACTCACCACCGGATCTCTGGGATCATGGCTGTACTGGAGGGTCCCACAGTCACATTTGGAATTACTCGGGTTGGTTTAGGGTTCATGGACACTTTCAGGACCATGGTGGGGAATTGCTGTTGGGGTGGGTGAGAGTGGGTTTAATTAAAGTCAGTCAGTTCAGGAAAATGGCATCCTAAGTCAGATGGGAATTCTGAGCTAGGGTGTGGGTGCCACAAAGTCACTGAGGAGCAGCTGCTGCTCCAGGAGGACTGAAATTGGGATCTGCTCCAGCTGGCCTGTCACTGTCCACACCAGCACACATCCCAGAGTAGCCCTGTCCTCGGGATGACAGGGACACAGAGCTCTGTCCTCGGGAGGCTCCGTGTGGCTGTGCCTGTGCTGTCACAGCTGTCCCTCTGTGTGAGGTGGCTGGCTCCCAGCCTCATTCCCTCTGGCTTCTCTGGAGCCAATGGATGCAAACCCCCTTGTCTGTTTCCAGGTTTCCAAAGCACACCCCTCAAATCCCTGGGTTAGATCCTCCTGATCCCTGGCAGCTCCCAAGCACAGCCATGGAGACCAGGTGCCAAGGGGTGGCCGAGTGTGTGTCCTGGGGAGCAGCACAGGTCTGGGGATGAGGTTTGCCTTGGCACTGAGCCTTGGTGCTGGCAGCCTGGAATCTCTGGCTTTGCCAAATCTGGGGAGGACTGAGAGCAACCCCAAGGGAGCCCTGCGAGGGCAGGCAGAACCAGAGGTGAACTGGGGCATTTAGGGAGCAGAGCCAGGGAGGAGCTGGTGTGGTTTGGGAGCAGACGCAGAGCAGGCCGGGTGTGCTGAGAGGGCAGAACCCAGCCCAGAGTGGCCATGGGGAGGGAGGTGGAGCCCCTTCCCTCCTGTAGCACCCGTCTGTGCAGACGCTCTCTGAGAGGAGAGGACTGGAGGAGGCCGTGCCCTGCCCTGGGCCCTGCAGGTAAGGGGCTGCGGTGGGGTGTGAGGGCGGAAGAGGGCGAATGCCGAGCTCCCGGTGCATGCTGCTTCCCTGCGTTGCCCCACACGGCATTCTCTGTGTCCCAGGGCCTCGAGGTGCTGGGGAGCTGTGGGCAGTGCCTGGTGCTTAGGGATGGAGACCAGAAGGTTCTGGGAGCTGTGGTGCGGAGCCAGGCGTCGTTCCCTGCCCCGCTGTGTTGTCCTGCCCCTACAGCCCCTGTTTTCCTTGCAGGCCAAGAAGTACGCGATGGAGCAGAGCATCAAGAGCGTGCTGGTGAAACAAACCATCGCCCACCAGCAGCAGCAGCTCACCAACCTCCAGGTGAGACCCCCCTGCGAGCCGCTCCCTCTGCCTCGTGCTCCCCCCGACACGGTGGAGTTCTCAAGGCCCTCGGAACCAGAGCACAGCCCTGAGCCTGCAGCTCACCCGGGCACCCTGACTAACCTCACAAATTGCCCGCAGATCTCTTTTGTTCCAAGAGGAAATGGTTAAAAGTTCCAGTCCTGTTGGATGTCCCTTCTTGAGATACAAGAAGCCAAAGACTTTGCCGTGGGCTTTGCTTCTGAGCCATGTTATGGTGGTGAGGGCAGAAGGGATCCTGGGAACAGTGTCCTATCACCATCTCCTCTGCCTGAGGGAGGGTCCCTGTGTTCTTGTGTCCCAGTGCTGCCCCATTTCTGTCCCCTGCACCCAGGTGCTCTCAATTTTGGAGAAGTTCTGTTGGCTGTTCCTGCTTGTACTGGAATGCCCCCACTGGGAGAACCCTTAACTGGGGTTTGACCTCCCCTCCTTCAGAGGTTTCTGGAACATGTCTCAGTGTCTTTACTCAAAGTCATGAAGCCCAAAACAAGGGCTTTGCCTGAGGAATCCCCGTGGATGTGCTCTCCCTGCCCGGCAGCTGAGGCCGTTTGGGGCTGTGCCTGGTTCTGAGGGTCTGCTCTAGTTGAGGGGTTCCTTTTAAATGCTGGGGGTGAATCAACGACAGTGGTTGCAGAGGTTACTATTGCCTTGAGTCCCCCCTGGGATCCCACCCTGCTTCCCGAGGCAGCGGCAGCAGCACATCCCCACCCTGGCCTGGTGGGACTGGACTCGGCAGGGTCCTGGCGCCGGACAGTCCTGGGGACCAGGCAGCGAGGGCCGAGGAAGGAGAGGCCTCTCCGCAGGTGCCCCTGTGCCGCCGCTCTGCTTGAGTTTGTACAAACAGCCGTAGTATGCTCAGCTCCAACAGACTGAACTCTGTCTTTACTGTCTTTCAGATGGCAGCAGTGACAATGGGCTTTGGAGATCCTCTCTCACCTTTACAATCGGTCAATAGACATATTCACTTCTTCTGGGGCACTTGTCTTAGTCAGGGCCTAGCGTGGGGACGTTCGTAGTGGTGCCAATGCTCTTGTCCGCGCCCAGCACAGCCCTCCCACATCCCCACCTGTACTGGACACGCCCAGGAGCAGAGCGAGGTGTCACTGCCCCGAGAAGACCCCAGGCTGTGCAGTCTGCGGGGACACTGCCACTCGGGGGCAAAGACAGCTTTAGATTTCCACCAGTTCTGAACACACCCGTGAAATTGTGGGAGCTGCATTTCTAGGGATGCTACAGTTCTGAGGTCCCGACCTAAAACTAACGGCCAAGGTAACTCACCAAGGGGCGATTTCTTGTGGAACGACCTCCCAGCACCCAGAGCCGGCCGGTGCTGGGGAGGGCCGGGGTGCCGGAGGTTGGCAGAACATGGTGTAGCCCAGGCTCAGACTCTCTTTACTGTGCATGGTCCAGACCAGGGCAGTATGGCACGTTCCGAGTGCAGCAAAAGCAGGATGGAAGGGACAGAACTGCAGCACTGATCAGAGCACTTGGGTGAGCCTTTGTGCCCCTTCTAATCAGAGGCCACAAAGAGCTGAATGACTGCCCACGATCCATCCTCTCCTTTTTCCAAGGCGTGCTGGACAAAGTGTCCTGTGACTCCTCTCTGCGCCCAAAGGTTCAGATGTAAATTCATTTGTAAATACCTCTCCATCTTGCTGGAAAATGAGATTTGTGCCTGGTGTAACACATGGGTGGAGGTTTGAACTCCAAGAAAAAGGGCACTGAAGTGAAATCCCCGGTCTCCCTCCTTTGGCAGTGGGTGGTGTATCAGTGGGGAGCCAGAATGGATGTTCTGGAGCAGGGGGACGTTTGGAGTGGAGCAGAGCAGCCATCTTGGTGTGCATTTGGCAGAGATGGTGTCGGAGCCCTCATGCCCAGGAACTCCCCCATCCCTGGAGCTGCTGCCTGACAGTGGAACTCCAGCAATTTGGCCTAAATCGTTTCTGGCTCATTCTCCCCAGCTGGGCACAGCTGAGTTGGTGGCACAGGAATGTTTTAATGGCTTATGACCCCTTTTCCTCAGCCATTCCTCCTTTGGGACTCACACGTGGACACAGCCCAGGAGCAGGAGCCTGGTACAGTTCAGAGCAGTCAGATGGGCAGATGCTTCATCCCAGAGCCCCCTTTATTGGCAGATGCTTCCCATTCTTGGCAGATGCTTCATCCCGGAGCCCCCTTTTTGCATCAGAATGCACAAAGTGCAAATAGCCCCATCCAACACTTTTCCTGTTGCCAGGGTTTTCCAGTTCCTTTGTGGAGGCAGCACAGCCTGAACTCCCTGAGCTCTGGGTCTCAAGGCCTGAGTTGCAGCTTCCCATGGGCTCAGTCCTCAGTGTCACAGTGTAAGATTCCCACGTCCCTTCACCATCCCCTGGTGTCACTGTGTCATGACTGATGCTCGTGCTGAGGGTTGTGCATCATTTGCTTTGATTACAAGAGCACCCCAAGGTGGGGTTTTGGCCTGTGCTTAAAATAACCCCCCAAATCCCTTTAGAGCAGCAAAAGCAAAAATTGCACAGCTAAAGGTGGAGGCTACTGCCTGGCTGAGGCTTCAGGTGCTTTTCCAAGTTACAGGAGGAGAAAGAGGCCCAGGGAGCAGTGAAATCAGCCTGGGGGCTGCTGAGAGCAGTGAGATGTCCAGGCAGGAGGCCCTGACACCAACCTGTGCTGAGCTCAGGTGCCCAGGGCACATCCCCTACGTGGATGCTCCTGTTGGTGACCCACAAAGACCCAGAGTCAGCACAGCCCATCTCACCTCTGCCTTCTGCAAGTCCAAAATCCCAGAGTCATTAAGGCTGGAAAAGACCTCCAAGGTCATCAAGTCCAAGCTGTGCCTGATCCCCACGTTGTCACAGGCCCAGAGCACTGAGTGCCACATCCAGGTGTTCCCTGGACACCTCCAGGGATGGGGACTCCGAACCTCCTTGGACAGCCTCTTCCAATGCCTGACCACCCTTTGCAGGAACGAATTCTTCTGCTGTCTGAAAATCTTGAGTCCTCCTTGCTCCCCCACCTCTCCTTTAGAGTCCTGTGTCAGGGCAAGGTGGGGATTTCCTCCTGCAGAGGCTCCTCGGGAGAGGCACCTCCCTGGGACACCCAGGGTGACACTGGTGGTGGCTCTGACCCCCTAAACAGATACGCTGCAGACTGAGGGGCTTTCCTGCACCAAAGCTGGGAATGTGCTGCAGCACCTGGGAGAGCACCCAGCCACTGTCCTGCATGTGTACGTGCCATAGTCCTGCTGGTCACAGCCTGCAGAGTAAAGAGAGCCATGGCCCAGCTGTGCTGGGAAATCCTGAGACAGGCAGGGGGCAAGCTGGATGTCACCTCAGGAGCAACAGTTGGGGCTCAATGTCACCACAGGAGCAACATTTGAGGCTTGATGTCACCTCAGGGGCAGAGTCTGGGGCTTGATGTCACCTCAGGAGCAGCAGTTGGGGCTTGATGTCACCTCAGGGGCAGAATCTGGGGCTGGATGTCACCTCAGGAGCAGCAGTTGGGGCTTGATGTCACCTCTGGAGCAGCAGCTGGGGCTCGATGTCACCTCAGGGGCAGAGTCTGGGGCTGATGTCACCTCCGGAGCAGCAGCTGGGGCTTGATGTCACCTCAGGTGCAGAGTCTGGGGCTTGATGTCACCTCAGGGGCAGAGTCTGGGGCTGATGTCACCTCAGGAGCAGCAGTTGGGGTTTAATGTCACCTCAGGGACAGTCTGGGGTGAGAGCTGTCCCTGTTTGCAGCGTCCTGTAGGGAATGGCAGGAGTTAAACCCTCACAGGTGGTTTCCTGCTGTGGCCAGTGGCAGTCCTGGACAGGTGCAGCAGGGTGCAGGAGTCCCTTGAGTACAGGCTGTGTCCATGCTGCTGTGCCTGTCACAGATGAGCTCTCCCTCCCTTTGGGCTGCAGCATCCCCAGGCAGAGCTCCTGTACTCATTAGGGCACCCCAAAAATCAGCCTTGAGGAGGCCCTGAGTGCTTTCCCTCTGCCCCAGGAGACCCCAGGCATGGCAGAGCTCCTCTGCTCATTAGGGCACCCCAGAAATTGTCTCCTGAAGGCCCTGGTTGCAACCCCTCTGCCCTGGGGGTGCTCAGAGCTCACTGCTGTGGTGCTGGGCAGGGCCAGAGGCATCACCTGCTGCTGCTGCACGTGCTCTGCACCAGCCTCTTCCTGCCCCAGGTGTGTCCCACCTGCCCCAGAGCCATCCCCTCACATGCAGGCAGTGACTCCTCCAGAGCCCTGAGGCATGGCCACATCTCCAGGGCCACGTCCCTCAGCAGATCTAGAGCTGCTCTGGGGGTGACAGACACAAAGGACACACTGTGCTCTGCTTTTGGGATCCCTCCTGTGAGGAATGGCTGGATTTGTCTTGAAAACAGGTTTCCAGACAGACTTAGGACACCGTTGCAGGAACCCTGTGTGCAGCCCCCGCGTGTTGGGGCTGCACCAGTACAGCCAGTGCCGCCAGGCAGGGATGAGTACTGGCACCACACGCTTCCCAGGAGTCCCACTGGGCCATGGAAGTGTTTGGCTTTGCTGTTGAGCTGTGGAAGTGGTGCCCAGTACTGGATCTCGGACTGCCAGGGGTGGGTGGAAGCTCTGGTACCAGAGGGAGCGGGGGGAGGTTCCCAGTTCCAGACCCTTTGCTGCCGGGGAGGATGGGTGGGGGCGGGAATGCCGATGGATCTCTGCTGTTGGGGGGAGCGGGAGGGGTTCTCCCAGTGCCCAGAGCTGAGCCCTTTGCTGCCTGGAGGGGGAAGCTGCCCTAGAGTGAAGGGATTCCCTCCTCCTGCAGGTGTGGCTGGAGATGAGATCAGGCTGGGGGAGACCCGGCCAAAGGGGCCGAACCGTGTCTGCCCCAGGACGAGCCGGACTTTATCCGGGACCGAGCCGGACGGATCCGCTCCAGCGCCCTGTGCAGCGAGCAGGGAAATCCTTCTGATCCAGGCTGTGCCAGAGCTGCCGCCAGGGCTGGCTCCCGGGAGGGAAGCAGGAGGGGAGGAGGCCCCGGTGGCCACGGCCAGCCCAGCACTGACCAGCCAGTCCTTGTCTCGCTACAGATGGCGGCTCAGAGGCAGCGGGCACTCGCCATCATGTGCCGGGTCTACGTGGGCTCCATCTACTACGAGCTGGGGGAGGACACCATCCGCCAGGCCTTCGCCCCCTTCGGGCCCATCAAGAGCATCGACATGTCCTGGGACTCCGTCACCATGAAGCACAAGGTGGGATGGGGCTGCTGGGAGGTTCCTTGCCCATGGCACGGGGTGGAACTGGGTGAGCTCTAAGGTCCTGTCCCACCCAAACCGTTGTGGGATGGCCTGGATCTGGCAAAGAGTAGGTGAACTGTCCTGGGAAGGGGTGGAATTCTTTGGGGACAGCGAGAGCTGGTGCTGCTGCCCCAGTGATGAGGCAGCAGTTTTGGGGTTTTTAGCAAGGACATTTCTTTCAGCCATGTGTCCTAAACACAAAATAAGCAGCTTTGCAGAATTCCGGATGAGAAACTGGGAAGGAACTCTTCCCCATGGGGGTGGTGAGGCCCTGGCACAGGTTGCCCAGAGAATCTGTGGCTGCCCCATTCCTGGAAGTGTCTTAAGGTCAGGCAGGATGGGGTTTGGAGGAACCTGGTCTAGTGGAAGGTGTGGAACTGGATGGGCTGTAAAGTCTCTGTGACCCAAACCATTCCATGATTCCCAGCCCTCAATGAACATTCTTCTCTCTTCAAGGCTTTCCAGATGAAGCCAGGAGAGGAAAGGGCCTCTATCCCTGTGAAGAACAGGCTCCTTTTAGCGCTGGGGATGAATGTTTGCAGCTCCCTGATCTGCTTAGGGCAGGATTCTGTGGTGGGAGCCAGGGGTGTGTGGGGTGAAGTGCATGGAATCAGAATTGTTGAGGTTGGAAAAGAGCGCGCAGAGCACTGAGTGCCACATTCAGTCATTCCTCAGACATCTCCAGGGATGGGGACTCCACACGTCCTTGGACAGCCCCTTCCCATGCCTGACCATCCCTTCAGTGAAGAAACTCCTTGTCATGCTCAGCTGGAAGCTCTGGAAGTGCTGACAAGGCAGCAGCCCTTAGTTGGATGGGGTTTTGCTGTAGGACCTCAGAGTCTGAGGGACTCCAGAATCAGATGTTCTTGGGGTAACCTCTGCAAGCCAATTTCTGCCATACTAAAATACTTCTTTAAGGAGTCTTCTTGGGCCACGAGCAGAAATCAGGGTGGTGGGAATCAATTCCACCTGTAGGCATCTGGTCCATGGGAAAGCTCGGCTGCATTAGACTGGCACAGCTGGAGTGATTGACAGGTGTCTCCTCCCATCCCAGGGCTTTGCCTTTGTGGAATACGAGGTTCCTGAGGCTGCCCAGCTGGCCCTGGAGCAGATGAATTCTGTCATGCTGGGGGGAAGGAACATCAAGGTGAGTAACATGCCTGCTCTGCAAATTCCTGCTTCTCTTTTCCTGGCAATAATGGTTTCATGCCTGGAAATGCTCCCCACGGCACTGTGATGGGGGAAGGAATCTAAAGACTGTTCCCTGATGGACCTTGATGTCCAGCATGGGGCACACAGTGGCTCTGGGTCCCTCCTCTCCAAGGAGAAACCCCCAGCCTGCAAGTCCCACCTGAGACTGGCTTCAGGTTTTCCCACCCACACATGGAATTCTTTTGAAGACAAAGCCAAGGTGATTCTTTATATCTTTTATGGTGTCTCTGACACACCCTGAGTATGTGCAGAGTGCCATGGCCCAGGGGGTTTAGGAAAGAGGTAGGAATGGTGAATTACTTGCAGAATGCTTCTCAGTCCCTAGAAGTTTAGCAGGTCAGGGAAGGTAAATGGGTACAGGGAGGAGGGAGCAGAGCCGAGGACCTGGGTAGTGCAGGCTGTTCCTGGACCTGTTACCTCTGAGGTGTGGTGTGTTTGCACGGGCAGGGAGGGGCCAAGTGCTGCCCTGCTCCATGGACCATCCATGTCACAGAATAATGGAGCTGCTCACATGGGAAAATCCCTCCCAGCTCATGGAGTCCAGTCTGTCACCAATCCCTGCCTTGTCACCCAGCCCAGAGCACTGAGTGCCACGTCCAGACATTTCTTTGATGTCTCCAGGGATGGAGACTCCAGCATCTCCTTGGGGAGCCCCTTCCAATGCCTGAGCACTATTTCCTTGAAGAGATTCCTCCTGATGTTCAGCCTGAACCTCCCCTGGCACAGCTCGAGGCTGTTTCCCTTTGTCCTGTCTCTTGGTCTTTGGGAGCAGAGCCTGACCCCCCCAGCTATCCCTTCCTGTCAGGGTGTTGTGCAGAGCCACAAGGTCCCCCTGAGCCTCCTTTGCTCCAGGCTGAGCCCCTTTCCCACCTCCCTGAGCCCCCCCTGGTACTCCAGGCCCTTCCCAGCTCCATTCCATCCCTGTCCCTGCAGGTGGGGAGGCCCAGCAACATCGGGCAGGCTCAGCCCATCATTGACCAGCTGGCAGAGGAGGCCCGGGCCTTCAACCGCATCTACGTGGCCTCTGTGCACCAGGACCTGTCCGACGACGACATCAAGAGCGTGTTCGAAGCCTTTGGGAAGATCAAATCCTGCACCTTGGCCAGGGACCCCACGACAGGGAAGCACAAAGGCTACGGCTTCATTGGTACAGCCAGCTGGGGCAGGGCAGGGGTGTGTCCTCTGCTCCTGGGGGTGGGTTTTCCACCCTGCTGAGGGAATTACTTAAGGGGTAGGAAGAAGTTTGGAGCAGTTCAGGGTGGGATTTAGAAATATAATTTGTAGTGGCTGTGAGGGGGTGAGGCGCTGACACAGGGTGCCCGGAGAAGCTGTGGCTGCCCCAGCCCTGGCAGTGTCCAGGCTTGATTAAGCAGGCTTGGAGCAGCCTGGGATGGTGGAAGGTGCCCATGGCAGGGGGCAAGGAGTGGGACTGGAAGGTCTTAAAGGTCCCTTGCCACCCAAACCATCCCATAATTCCATGATGGAACAGCGAAAGGCTCATTGGTGAATCTCCTCCTGCAGAGTATGAGAAGGCACAGTCCTCCCAGGATGCCGTGTCCTCCATGAACCTCTTTGACCTGGGCGGGCAGTACCTGCGGGTGGGCAAGGCCGTGACGCCCCCGATGCCCCTCCTGACCCCCGCCACACCTGGAGGGCTCCCACCTGCAGCTGCTGTCGCTGCCGCCGCCGCCACTGCCAAGATCACGGCACAGGTGAGACATGGGGGTGGAACTGGGGAGGGACAGGTGAGACACGGGGGTGGAACTGGGGGGGGACAGGTGAGACAGGGATGGAACAGGGGAGGGATGGGTGAGACATGGGGATGGAACAGGGGAGACACTGGGGATGGAACAGGTGAGATGGAGGTGGAACAGAGGAGGCACAGGGGCAGCTCAGGTGAGGCACAGGTGAGACACGGGGGTGGAACAGGTGAGGCACAGGTGAGACACGGGGGTGGAACAGGGGAGGCACAGATGAGACACAGGGACAGCACAGAACACTGCACAGGGTGCCCAGAGGAGCTACCCCATCCCTGGAAGTGTCCAAGGCCAGGTTGGACAGGGTTTGGACAACCTGGGATAGTGGAAGGTGTCCCATTGCAGGGGGTGGGAGTGGATGAGCTTTAAGGTCCCTTCCAACACGAGCTATTCCAGGATGCTATGATTCCAGATCATACTCTGTCCCAGGATTTCACACGTGGAAGCATGTCCCTGGCACGTGGGGAATCTGAGACACCAGATTTTAAATGATCTGGCACAGCTGATGACAGCTTTATTTCAAGAACTGGTGGGCAAGGGTGGAGAGAATTCCTAATCTGGAAATCAAACCAGCAGTGGGGGAAAAATGGTTGCAGGAGAGGCTGAAAGAGAGCAGGGAAGGACATGGAAGGGGTGAGGGACTGGGGGCAGGAGCAGCTGTGTGAGCTGCACTCTGGTTGAAGGTTGCTCCTGTAGCAGGGTGGAAGAAGCCTGGAATGACTTGAGGCTGCTGGGAAACAGGGAAGGGCAGTGATGGGGTGGACATCGATACAGAACTTGAGTTCTCTTGATTTCATTTTCCTGAAGTCCCAGGAGCTCCTGGGTGGGACCACTGGGCACTGATTCCAATGGCTGTGCCCCCATCCCTGCCTTGGGCAGCTGGATCCCTCCCCCATGGCACTGTAGCCCATGGAGCGAGAAAATTCCAGCACTGTTGTGTTGTGGGATTTTCTTGGGCGGGAATTGCTGGTCAGTGCAGCCCCTGGTGCTGCTGCAGCAGAGCTGAGGTTCCAGAAGGCTTTTTGGGGAATGTTCCCCTGGATCAAAGGTGGAGGCAGGAGTGGGAGGAGCTCCTCCTCACACGGAACTCTCAGGTCCCCAGGAGAGATTCCACAGGTCTGGAAAGCTCTGCAGTCAGGGCAGGGAGGAAGTTGAGACATAGCTGGGATTACTTGGATCAAAATCACTTTGGGAAGGAAGCGTGGACTCTGCTTAAGTGAAAAGGTAGGGATGTGGCACAGACATGGGTAAATCCTGCTGTTTTGTCAAGGAACTGCAGGATCTGTTCCTGTGAGGAGAGTGGCACTAAAGAGAGCGGAGCAAGGGTCAACCTTGTCTGCCAGAGGTAGGAAATGTCAGACTTGCAAGGAAGTAGAGGAATCAAAAGTATTGGAAGAAGTTTTTTAGCCATTCCAATGAGAAGTGGGGGCAGCAAGTGACCAGTGGAGCCAGAAATTCCAGTGGTTTTGTTCCAGCACTTTCCCGTTCTCCTTCAATAGGAGCTTCATCTCCAGTGGAAATAGGAGTGGTCTTGTGGGCAGTGGGAGCAGAGCCCTGATGGATAGGTTGGATCCCAGAGTTTGGGCATTTATGTGGAGGAGAGTTGGGATATCCCAGCAGCTTTGAGTCACAGATCCACTGATATCTGGGATGGAGGGACAAAACCTTGGGATCTTCTGCTCTGCCACATCAGGGATTACAGGAGCACTGAGAATACAAGGAAGAGAAGGATGTGTGCAATTAAAACAGAACTACAATGGCCTGGAAAGCAACAACAGCCAAAATACATCGGGATCCTGGGGTGTGGTTTAGGCACATTATTTTCAGTACTTCCATGGAAGTGCTTATTGTTTCTCTGGATGTTCCTCCTGGATGTGGTTGGAGTCCTGGGCATCTGGAGTCAGAGTGTTCATTGGGATTTGAGTTCCAGGAGAAGATTTTTCTTCCAAGGTGCTTTTACTTTCCTGCTGGGTTGGGTGCCACCTTTACCTTCCCTTGCAGCACTGGGAGCTCCTGGGGGTGGGAGTGTGGGGCATTTCCCAGGTGTAGGGCAGCTGAGCCTGGCTGGGTCAGCCACGTCAACTCCTCTGCAGGAACATCCCTGGGGCAGGGCTAACCCGAGGTTTTCCGTGTGTCCCGCAGGAAGCCGTGGCAGGAGCTGCAGTGCTGGGCACGCTGGCGACCCCGGGGCTTGTGTCCCCTGCCCTGACCTTAGCCCAGCCCCTGGGGGCTCTGCCTCAGGCCGTGATGGCTGCACAGGCCCCCGGTGTCATCACAGGTGGGTCCCCTCCTCCTGGTACCTGTGTCCCCTTTCTGCTGGCACTTCTGTGCATCCCCTTCTCTCACTTGTGTCTGTCCCCTCCTCCTGGCACTTTGTCCCTTCCTCCTGGCACATGTCCCCTGTCTGCAGGCACCTGTGCGTGTCTCCTCTTCTGTCACCTGTCTGTCCCTTTTTCCTGGTCCCTGTGCCCCCTTCCTCCTGGCATCTGCGCGTCCTCTTCCTTCTGCATGTGTGTGTGCTCGTCACCTGTGTGCTTCTCCTGTTGCTGCACTTGTCTGTCCCCTCCTCCTGTCACCCATGTGTGCTCTTCCCTCGTGAGCTCTGTGGGTCCCCTTGCTGTTGTCGCTGGTGTGTCTTGTCATCCATGTCCCTTTTCCACAATGGCACTCTGTGCCTGGAGTCCACTGGAAGCTGGAATGGTGCTCCTGGCCCTGCCTGGGCAAGAGCTTGGATGTTTCATGGGTTCATTTTGGTGTCCAACAGATGGGACAGGCCGTGGGTTTCCAGCAGGAACACCTGGCATGGGGGGAAAAGCTGGATAATTGGCACTGGGCATCACTGAGCATTGTCCAGGTGATCATGGCCTGGGTACCACGGAATGTTGTCCAGGTGTCACCACTGCCTAGGTGTCACTGACCATGGCCTGGGTATCACTGAATTTTTCCCAGCTGTCACTGACCGCTGCCCAGGTGTCACTGACCATCGCCCAGGTGTCACTGACCACTGCCCAGGTGTCACTGACCATGGCCCAGGTGTCACTGACCATGGCCCAGGTGTCACTGACCATCACCCAGGTGTCACTGACCATTGCCCAGGTGTCACTGACCATTGCCCAGGTGTCACTGACCACTGCCCAGTGTCACTGACCATCACCCAGCTGTCACTGACCGCTGCCCAGTGTCACTGACCATGGCCCAGGTGTCACTGACCATCGCCCGGGTGTCACTGACCGCTGCCCAGTGTCACTGACCATCGCCCAGGTGTCACTGACCATTGCCCAGGTGTCACTGACCATGGCCCAGGTGTCACTGACCATTGCCCAGGTGTCACTGACCATGGCCCAGGTGTCACTGACCATTGCCCAGGTGTCACTGACCATCGCTCAGGTGTCACTGACCATCACCCAGCTGTCACTGACCACCCTCCTGTCCCTGCGCTCTCCCAGGTGTGACCCCTGCCCGGCCGCCCATCCCGGTGACCATCCCGCAGGTGGGGGTTGTGAATCCCATCCTGGCCAGCCCCCCGGCCCTGGGGCTGGTGGAGGTGAAGAAGGAGAAGGAGGAGGAGGAGGTGTTCCAGGAGTCGGAGCGGCCCGAGATGCTGAGTGAGCAGGAGCACATGAGCATTTCGGGCAGCAGCGCCCGCCACATGGTCATGCAGAAGCTGCTCCGCAAGCAGGAGGTGAGTCCAGGAGGTGACAGCTCCACCCCTGTACCTTTCCCAGAGACTCAATCCATGGCACAGCCTGGCTTGGGAAAAGCTGAGCACAGCTAAATACTCTTATTTAAGGTTTAAAAAATTTAAAACCCCCAAATCACAAAACTTTTAAGCATTTTTAAATAAAATGCTCTATCCCAACCTGTTTGGAATTCTGAGCCTACAAGTTGGCCTTGGTTTGGGCTGTGAGGAACAGCCAGAAGAAATGTGTTCACATGGAGCCTGGAATGGGATGGGGCAGAGCCTGGAATGCCCCAGATGTGCCAGGGCCAGGTGCACAGAACAGCCTGCCCAGAGGGGAGGTGGAATTTCTGTCCTTGAAGATACCCAGAGGCCACCTGGACACGGCCCTGGAGCTCAGGCCGGGTGACTTCAGCTGACCCTTCTGATCTGAGATCCGAGGGGCTCAGTCATGGAAGGGCTGGGTGCAGGTGTGGGACCTACCTTTGCATCCTGTTGGGAGCACCCAGAGCACCTGGGGATTCCTTCCGCTTTACTGGGAGGGGAGGAAAGGAACACAAAGAGAATTGTGGCCAAAAATACCTGGGTGGTAGCAGCACAGGGAAAATGAGAGTGGTGCCCAAGGCTTCCAGGGTGTATCCCAGAAAATGGCACACAGCATTCCCAGCCCAGGGGAATTCTGATCCAGGGGCCAGCCCCTCACTGCCAGCAGCACACAGACCTGGAAACTCAGTAATTATCCCTGAGGACCTGAGCCAGCAGCCCCATGGCGTGTTCCTGCAGTGGCCAGCAGTGGGGTTTGGGGTGCTGGGGCGTGTCCTGTGCGTGTATCCAGGCTTTAATTCCCTCCTGCCTTCCCTTGCAGTCCACGGTGATGGTGCTGCGGAACATGGTGGATCCCAAGGACATCGATGATGACCTGGAGGGAGAAGTGACAGAAGAGTGCGGCAAGTTCGGGGCTGTGAACAGGGTCATCATCTACCAGGAGAAGCAGGGCGAGGAGGAGGATGCCGAGATCATTGTCAAGATCTTTGTGGAATTCTCCATGGCCTCAGAGACTCACAAGGCCATCCAGGCGCTCAACGGGCGCTGGTTCGCGGGCAGGAAGGTGGTGGCCGAGGTCTACGACCAGGAGAGGTTCGACAACAGCGACCTCTCAGCTTGAACTGCACCCCACGGCTGGGCCTGGAGCTGGGAATGGGCCCAGCTCTGATCCCAGGGCTGGGCTGGGCTTAGATCTGGGGCCTGCCTCTGATCCCAGGGCTTGGATCTGGGGAATGGGCCCAGCTCTGATCCCAGGGCTTGGATCTGGGGATGGTCCTGACTCTGCTCCCAGGGCTGGGCTGGGCTTGGAGCTGGGGCCTGACTTCTGCTTCCAGGGGTTGGATCTGGGGAATGGCCCTGACTGTGATCCCAGGGCTGGGCTGGGCTTGGATCTAGGGCCTGACTGATCCCAGGGCTTGGCTGAGCTTGGCTTCTGGGAATTGGTCTATTTCTGATCCCATGACCTGATTCCCTGATCCAGGGAATCAGCCCAGCTCTGGTCCCAGGGCTTGTCCAAGCTTGGATCCAGGGAAGTGGTCCAGCTCTGATCCATCCCAGGGCCTGGCCAAGCTTGGATCCAGGGAAATGGTCCAGCTGTGATCCCAGGGCTTGGCCAAGCTTGGATCCAGGGAAGTGGTCCAGCTCTGATCCCAGGGCTTGGCCAAGCTTGGATCCAGGGAAGTGGTCCAGCTCTGATCCATCCCAGGGCTTGTCCAAGCTTGGATCCAGAGAAACAGTCCAACTCTGATCCATCCCAGGGCCTGGCCAAGCTTGGATCCAAGGAGGTGGTCCAGCTGTGATCCCAGGGCTTGGCCAAGCTCAATCTGGGGACTCAGCCCAGCTCTGTTCCAAGGAATTGGCCAAGCTCTGCCCTGGGGACCAGCCCTGCCCCTCTCTGCCTCCCAGGATTTTTGTAGCCTTGTGTAAAGGACATTCCAGGACATTCCAGCAGGCACAGGGGTCTGGTGTCTGAGATAAAAACTCAAAGAAAGCCGGTGTCCCTTTGTGTGTGTGTGTGACAGGGCTGCCACCCCCTCGGCTCGGGCTGGCCCGGGGTTGGCACTGTGCTGGCATCTCCACAGCCCACGGTGGCACCCCGAGGCGCAGGGCTGGGCTGAAAAGGGCTGGGGGTGCCCCTGCCCAGCCCCGAGCTCTCTCCAGCTACGCTCGGGTCAGGACCCACAGGGCAGGAGCAGCCTGTGGGGCAGGAGCAGACGTTTCCCTCCAGGACCGGCCCCAGGGGGTTGGGATGGAGCCAAGGAGGAATTTGGGATGAGGGGGTCACCCTATCCTGGCAGAGGGAAGGAACCGGGGGTGCTGGGAGAGAGCCCTGATCCAGAGAGCTGAGCTGAGCCTATGCTCCGGAATTCCACAGCACTAGGATCCAGCAGGAGGCTGGAGGAAATGATCCTTTTACTTAAGAAATGCAAATCTAAGCAGAATGATCTCTAGGGAACTGCAGCAGGGAATTCCGAGCCCAGCCTCCTCCTGGGGGTTGCTGCCAAGCCTGGGGATGTCCTGCAGCAGAGCCTGGGAAACTCACCCAGGGCTGGAATGGCTCAGCCTGGAGCAGAGCCAGGAGGCTGAGTTCCACAGCTGGGATGCTGGGGGCTGTGGCAGCTGGGGTTTGGGGATTTGGGATGCTGTGTCTGCAGCAGCTGGGACTTTGGAGTGCAGGGATTTTGGGATGCCAGGATGTCGTGTCTACAGCAGCTGGGACTTTGAGATTGCAGGGATTTTGGGATGCTGTCTACAGCAGCTGGGTTTTGGGATGTTGCTGGGGTTTTGGAATACTGGGGGTTTGGGGTACAGGGATTTTTGGATGTTGTTGTCTACAGCAGCTGGGTTTTGGGATGTTGCTGGGGTTTTGGAATACTGGGGTTTTGGGGTACAGGGATTTTGGGATGTTGTGTCTACAGCAGCTGGGATTTTGGAATGCTGGGATTTTGGGATACCGCGTCTACAGCAGCTTTGGTGCTGTCTTTGGCAGCCCCGAGCTTTCCGAGGTAGCTGCACAAATCCCTGAGCAGCTCTGTTTGGCTCTGGTGCTTCGGGAAAACACCCCAAAAATGCAGGGGTAAGCACAGGACCTTCATCCTTTCTTCCAGGCCGGGCAGGGCCTGGAGCAGCCCGGGCCAGGGCAGATGTCCCTGCCCAGGGCAGGGCTGGCACGGGACGGGCTTTAAGGCCGCTCCATCCCAAACCCCGCAGAGCCCCCGGGGCCGGGCCGGGCCGGGCCGGGCCGGGCGCTCGGCAGCGCCCGCGGCTCGTGCTGCCGCCTGCTGGCGGCACCCGGAACTGCAGCCGGAGCGCGGATTGCCGCGCTCGCTGCGCCCTCCGGTGGGCAAAGCCCGAACCGCAGCGCCCGGAGACGAGCGGGCAAAGCGGAAAATCCCCGATCTGAGAGAAAACCGGGGCTTTTCATAAATAAATGGGTGCTGCTGCCTCTCTCCCCGAGCCTCGGGCTGCTCTATAAGCTCAGAAATGCCATCAGACCCCAACGAGCAGCACCTGTGCCGAGCTCCTCCCGAGCTCATCAGGAACACAATCTGCTCTCAGGAATTCCTGCTGGATAACGAGCTCCTCCTTTAACAACCAGCCTTGGGAACTCATTTTTCTTGCCTGAAGAACGACCCAAGTGGAACATTTTCGCTGTTGAACTTTCAGAGAGAGCTCCTGACCCGAATTGCAGGTGGGATGGTAAACGATGATGGCCAAAAGTCCACCTTCTCTGTTACCCTGTCCCTGCCCCAAGCCCTTCCCCGAGCTCCAGGGGCATTTCTCACAGCTGTAACCCTGTCCCTACCCCTGTGCATCCCCTGTGCCACTCCTGTGCATGCAGCACCTGCCCCTGCCTGCCTCAGGTCACTTTTTGGGGTGTGACTGCACTGCAGCAAACACTGGGTTCACCCCACTGCCATGGGCAGGGACACCTTCCACTAGACCAGGCTGCTCCAAACCCCATCCCACCCTGGCCTGGAGCCCTTCCAGGGACAGGGCAGCCTCCACCTCCCTGGGACAGAAGGAGAACATCAATATGGATCTGGTCCATAAATATATTTTACGGATCCTTGTGACAAGAGCTCAAAGCCCTTGGTGCTTCCACTGCCAGAAGGATTTGGTTGCTTCCCTGTTTGGTTCCTCCAGGTCGGGGCCGAGTGGTTTGGGGTCAGTGGCCTGCCCTGACAGGTGAGCGGGGTAGGCTGTCCCTGTCCCTGCGGCGCCGTGCCGCTGTGGGCAGTGCTGCCCGCTGGGCACACTGGCTCTCCCGGAGCAGCTGCTCCTGCTGGTCTTGCAGCTGGATTCTGGTGTTCCTGAGGAGCTGGCAGTGCTGGAGGAGGCCGAGCAGCTCGCGGCGCAGGAGCCTGTTCTCGGCTTTCACCTGTTCCACGTGCTGGATCAGAGCCTGCAGCGCCACCTCCTCCGCTCCCCAGGTGAGCTGCTGCATCCTCTGCTGGAATTCCTGCTCGCAGTCGGCCTTCTCCTGCAGGAACCTGCTCCTGATGGCGTGGGTTTCCTCAGCGCAGCGTATCCTGGTGACCCGCAGCTCCTTCTCCAGCGCCTTCACCTTCTGCTCCGCCTGCACCTTCTGCTCCCTGTAGGGCTGCAGCTGCTGCAGCTCCGCGTCCAGGTGCGAGGCCTCGGCCTCCGTGTCCTTCAGGGCGCTCCTCACCTGCTGCTCCTTGCCAGCGTAGCGTGGCACCAGCTCCTCCTTCTGCGCCTGGATCTGGGCCAGGTCCCGGCAGTTCTGGTCGTTCAGGGTGATGAGCATGCCGGGCGGGTCCTGGCTGAGCTTGGCCCCGCAGCGCAGGTAAGACTGGCTCTGCTCCCGAGTGCCCTGGGCTTCCTTTGCCAGGCGTTTGCTGCCCCGCAGGAGCTGCTCCGCTCTTCCCAGGTAGGTGTCCAGGTGCTGTGTGAGGACCCTGCATTCCTCCTGCAGGTGCAGCTTCCTCTCCCGGACGGGGTCCTCTGTGTCACTTGCTTCTTGGGATGCCTCCTCATCCTTGCTCTTCTTTGTTTTGGATGCCATATCCCAACCAAACTGTAAAACTGAAACAGAGGGAAAAAACACCAGCTCAGAGCGAATGGTTTTGCCCCGGTCCTCCCCTTGAGTTTCCAACTGGTACTTCCAGCAGCTCAAATGTTTGACTCAGAACTGTTTGGTGCCATTCCTGTATTTGCATTTCCCATCCTGAATTGCCTCAAGAGAAAACCAAGAATGCACATTTTTAAAGATTTCACTTTTTTTGCCATATAGGGTTGGGATATTCCTGTAGTTAGGAGGGAAAAGTACAATTCTGTCCCATTCCTCCCTCACAAATTCTAGTGTTTGAAGAGGCAGATGCATCCCAAACCAGTATCTCCTGTGCAAAACTAGTATCTCACATCCCAATTTCAGGAGATTCACTTTTTAAAAAATATTTGTCAGCATTAATTTAATGAGATTCAGTTTTTTAAATGGGTTTCAAGCATTAATTTCAGGATTGGCTGAATTTCTGAACTATTTATTCCAGTGTAGAATGCTGGAATGCAGGATTTAGAGCTGGAGTCTGAAGGTTTTAGTGAATATTTGTAATTACAAATCCTCACTTCCTAATACAATTCATGTAAGTTCCTAAGGAAAAAATAATGCAAAATTCCAGAACATGGGTGAAAAACAGGATAAATCCAATAAATCCCAGCCCAGGCTGCAGTGATATGGGGAATTTCAGGGGGTGGGTGCAGGGGATGTGTGAGGGTCAGAGAATTCCCACATGGGAAAAGGACGAAGTAGGGGTTGTATAAATGTGGTGTTTTAAGGCACTGACCTTCCCCGCTCCCAGGTTTTCCCAGGTCCCGGTGCTCCCGGTTTGCTGCTGGCCCTGGAGCCGGTGTGTTTGAGCTGTGTCCATGGAGATGAGGTCACAGGGGGAAGGCTGCAGGGGGATCCCACCCCCAGCCAGGTTCCACTGCGGGATCTGATCCCCGGGGAGGCTCCAGGGGGATCCCATCCCGTGGCCAACTCTGTCAGCAGCACCCCAGAGCCTTCCCGGATTTCCAGCCGCTCTCCCAAGCCTGGAGCCTTCCAGGGATTGTGACCACAGGGCAGGACACGGCACACGGCCAGGCTGAGCCTCACACCCCTGCCCGGTGTGAAACAGCCACGAAACAGCCACGAAACAGCCACGAAACAGGACTGGCCCAGCACTGAGCCCAGGGAGTCCCTGGTGCCAGCCCCAGCTGGATGTGGCCCCTTGCCCCCATTCCCCGGGCCCAGCCAGGGGCAGCCAGGTTCTCCAGGAGAACGCTGTGGGAAACGCTGCCAAAGTTTACTGGAGTCCGGGCAAACACATCCACAGCCACTGAGGAGGTCACTGTGGCACAGAGGGAGGCCAGCTGGGCCGGGCAGGACCTGACTGCCCCAACCCTGGCCTGGCAGGACCTGGCTGGGCCTGCCCGTCCCAAACCCGGCCTGGCAGGATCTGCCCATCCCAAACCCGGCCAGGCAGGACCGGCCCATCCCAAACCCGGCCTGGCAGGACCTGCCCATCCCAACCCTGGCCAGGCAGGACTGGCCTGTCCCAAACCCAGCTTGGCTGGGCCTGCTCCCCATTGTCCTGCACGAGCTGGGTAAGGACACAAGCTGTGGAATGACACGAGCTGTGGAATGACACGAGCTGGGTAAGGACACGAGCTGGGTAAGGACACAAGCTGGGTAAGGACACGAGCTGTGGAATGGCACAAGCTGTGGAATGACACGAGCTGTGGAATGGCACAAGCTGTGTAAGGACACTCAGGACCATCTGTTCCGTGCCCTTTCCAGGCACCAAGGACAGGCTGGAGCTCCTGCAGCCTCCTCCTGGCCGGGATTGTGGGTGGGCATCACGTTGGCACCTCCAGGCATCCCCCAGAGCTCTCTGAGCAGCCAGGACAAGTCGGAGAGCAGCTGGGCAAGCTCTCCCTCAGACACACCTTGTGCCAATCCCCGGGCCTTTGGCAGAGCTGCAATTCTTGTCTTTGTCCCTGCCGGGATCCTGCACATCTGCTGAGGCTCAGGGCGGTCACCGGAACCATCCTCACGGCATCACGGGTGTGAAAAATGCACATTTTACAATCGGCTTTTCGCAAGTGTTACAATTAATATTATATGTGTAATGTTAGAAAGTTATGCTGTATTAATTCTCTTAAGTAGTGTGTTAAATATAGTTTTAGTTTATAACACAATGATAAAATAAAAACTCTGCGATGTAAGATTTTTTTTAGTAGCTCAAGAAAAGGGATAAGATAATCAAGAAACTCTTGGCACAGAGATAACAGCGACAGGGCACATAAAGAGTTACAACCTCCTTATTGGAAAAGACAAACCTTCTTCCAGCTTCTCTCTGTCTTTATGGAACCACCAGGATTAAGGGGAAGAAGTTGACAAAAAGCAGAAAAATTCTTAATTTGCAAGGAATTTATGCATCATGTAGGAGATACATGAATATGCAACAGGCTGTTGCTTTTAAGGGTTATTCCTTTGTTCACAAAGCGTGTTTTTGGCAGCTCATAGCCCAAAAACATACAGACGTCTGTAATTCTTTGCTTTTTATTGCCTCATAGTCCCAATCATCATTGTCCAAATTTTTATTTTTCTAATTTTATTACTATTTTACATAAAATAAATAAAATAAACTTTTAAAAGTTTAAAAAAGTGTCTGGCATTTTTCACAAAAGATAAAGAGTGACAAAGCAGCCAGGAAACTGTGAAAGCGGTGGGCATAGGACGGGAGAACTGCAGCGTCCTGAGACAGCCCAGAGGCAACGACTGCCTTTGCGTTTTAGCTTTTGTCAGGACTGCCTTTGCGTTTTTGGCTTTTGTCACGACTGCCTTTGCATTCGGCTTTTGTCACGACTGCCTTTGAATTTTTGGCTTTTGTCACGACTGCCTTTGCATTCGGCTTTTGTCACGGGGCAGCGCCGGGGACACACGGCTCTGGTCCGCCCGCGGTGCCGGTGCCGGTGCCGGGAGAGGCGGCGGCGGTGCCCGCTCATCGTCTCCCGGTGCCAGCGCCGGTGCGGACAGCGCCGGTCCCTGCCGGAGCCGCCGGAGCCGCGGGCCGGAGCCGAATCCGTTTCCCAGGACGCCATTTCCCGTTTCCCAGGACTCTATTTCCCAGGATCCCCTTTCCCGGGACTCCATTTCCCAGGATCCCCTTTCCCAGGACGTCATTTCCCGTTTCCCAGGACTCCATTTCCCAGGATCCCATTTCCCGGGACTCCATTTCCCATGATCCCCTTTCCCAGGACGCCATTTCCTGTTTCCCAGGACTCCATTTCCCATGATCCCATTTCCCGGGACTCCATTTCCCAGGATCCCCTTTCCCAGTACGCAATTTCTTGTTTCCCAGGACTCCATTTCCCAGGATCCCATTTCCCGGGACTCCATTTCCCAGGATCCCCTTTCCCAGGACGCCATTTCCTGTTTCCCAGGACTCCATTTCCCAGGATCCCCTTTCCCGGGACTCCATTTCCCAGGATCCCCTTTCCCAGGACGTCATTTCCTGTTTCCCAGGACTCCATTTCCCAGGATCCCATTTCCCGGGACTCCATTTCCCAGGATCCCCTTTCCCAGGACTCCATTTCCCGTTTCCCAGGACGCCATTTCCCGTTTCCCAGGACGCCATTTCCCGTTTCCCAGGACGCCATTTCCCAGGACTCCATTTCCCAGGATCCCGTTTCCCAGGACGCCATTTCCCGTTTCCCAGGACTCCATTTCCCGTTTCCCAGGACTCCATTTCCCAGGATCCCATTTCCCGGGACTCCATTTCCCAGGATCCCCTTTTCCAGGACTCCGTTTCCCAGCGCACCCGCGGAGCGCGGCGCGGCCGGGCGCGGCTGCAGGCCAGGGCGGAGAGCGGAGAGCGGAGCGGGGGCGCTGCCGCAGCGGGAGCGGCGCGGCCGGGCCCGGCCGGGAGCGGCTCCAGGCCAGGGCGGAGAGCGGAGCGCGGAGCGGGGGCGCTGCCGCAGCGGGAGCGGCGCGGCCCGGCCCGGCCCCCGCACATCCGGGCGCTGCCGCAGGCCCGGCGCGTCCCGTCCCGGCTCGGCCCGGCCCGGCGCGATGCTGCGCTGCATGCCGCCGCTCTGGCGCTGCAACCGGCACGTGGAGGCGCTGGACCGGCGGCACTGCTCGCTGCAGGCCGTGCCCGAGGAGATCTACCGCTACAGCCGCTCGCTCGAAGAGCTGCTGCTGGACGCCAACCAGCTCCGCGAGTTGCCCAAGGTGAGCCCCGGCGCCGCCGCCCCGCGGCTCCCGACCGCGCCCGGGCCGGCCGGGGCCGCTCCTGCCCGCGGGGCCGCCCGAGCGCTGCCCCGGCCTGCGGGGTCCCGCCGAGCCCCGGTTCAGCCCCGGCCGAGCCCCGGTTCAGCCCCGGCCGAGCCCCGGTTCAGCCCCGGCCGAGCCCCGGTCCAGCCCCGGTCCAGCCCCGGCCGAGCCCCGGTCCAGCCCCGGCCGAGCCCCGGTTCAGCCCCGGTTCAGCCCCGGCCGAGCCCCGGTTCAGCCCCGGCCGAGCCCCGGTTCAGCCCCGGTTCAGCCCCGGTTCGGCCCCGGTTCAGCCCCGGCCGAGCCCCGGTCCAGCCCCGGTTCAGCCCTCCCGGTGCTCCGGGGCCGGCACCGAGCGCTTCGGCCGCGGTCCGTGCGGGCAGCACCGGCTGGGGAGGAGCCCCGGGCCGGGAGCGGGATAAAGGGGTCCCCTCCCGCGGGGGAGAGCCTTTACCCGAGTTTACCCTCCGACGGGCACAGCCGCTGCCAGGTAAAGCGCAGCCTGAATTTAAAAATCTGCTCTGATCAGTAAGCTGCAGTAAGTGTCGAGTAAGTTAATTAAAAGCGATAGAAGTGCTTTGCAGTTGTGATCATGGGGCTACAGAGATGCTCCAGCTGTCATGAAGGCAGGCTGGGGGTGTTTGGCCTCAAGAAGAGAAGCTCTGGGGGGACCTTAGAGCTCCTTGCAGTGCCTAAAGGGGCTCCAGGAGAGCTGGAGAGGGACTGGGGACAAGGGGGAATGGCTTCCTCCTGCCAGAGGGCAGGGTTGGAGGCGTTTTTGGGAAAAAATAATTCCTGAAGGGTGTGAGGCCCTGGCACAAGGTGCCCAGAGCAGCTGTGGCTGCCCCTGGGTCCCTGGAAGTGTCCAAGGCCGGGTTGGACAGGGCTTGGAGCAGCCTGGGATAGTGTAAGGTGTCACTGCCTATGGACAGGGACACAGTCCATATGCACTTCCCCCTGTGGAAGGGGGGTGGGACTTGGTGAGTTTTTAAGATCCCTTCCATTCCAGAGCATTCCTGGGGCTGCAGCCTGTGCTTGCAGCTTCTGCTGCCATTCTGTTCAGCGCAGAGCAGGAGCACCTGGATAAGACCTCCGTGTGCTGTTCCATGCCACCGTGATCCCTGCAGAGGCACAGGACCAAGATCTGCCCTGCTGCCAGCCTGGCCCAGCATCTCGTGACTCGCCAGGGTTTGCTTTTGCAGGGCAGGGTGTTGGTTGGGTCCTGGAGGACCCTCCAGCAGGAACCCAAGCCGTGGTGTTCCCGTTCTGCCTCGTAATCTGGCATAGGGGATGCTGCAGGTGGGAATTTGAACCTGCCTCTTGGGAAGGAAAAGGCCTTGAGACAGGAACAGGGCTGCAGAATACTCCATAGGAAGTTTTATTGTGTATCCCCTTTGGAAACTGAGTGATTTGTAAAAGTTATTGGTGTTCTGCCTGTGCCAGAGAGAGAAGGTGTTTGACTGCCATGTGTTTGGAGAGATGCTCTTCAGGGAATGTAGACTGAGTTGTGTTTATTAAAAAAATTGAGAATTAAGGTCATTAGCTTTCAAGGTTTTTGTTGAACACTGACATGTTATGGAATTTGCCATCAAATCTAGATAAAATAAACCCTTACAAAGCAGAAACTCAGTTTTGATTCAGGCCAGAGCAGTTTGGTTCAGTTTTGTTAAAACATACAAACACACAGTTGGTGCATCTGCACCTGAGTAGC